TAATTGTAGGTTAAAAAAATGATCAGATATCTCTGTACATACTGAACTGTCTTTATTACTATTTGGTCATTTTCTGTGCAAAATATGCCACAAATCATTTTTGGTCATCAAGAACTCTTTAATTACTTACACCTGATGCAATCTGTATGATGCTCAGATACGACCTTACAAAGTTTCAAACACTAAAAGCCAAAGATTAGAAAATTTAACAATAGGGGAGTCATTTATAGTAAATCCCTTTTTCGATGGTATAACATATAATATTAGCTGGCATTTTGCTCATATTTCCCTTGCACGCATATTTTATGTTAATCCATTGAAGAAAGTGTATTTATTTAGCTACTTGTTGAGGTCATTTTTAATAATTATTTATAGGGTGGGTGTAAATTGTTTGTAAATCCTTTATGTAATCCTTTGTTGTAGTAGTGTTCCAAAATAATGTAATTTTTCCTTAAAATTGTAACTGTTTCAGCTACAGGCTTGTTTGAAGCAACATCCATGACCATGTGAAAGGAAGCTGACATTGCAAGAAGTTAAAGAAGATTTTACTACAAACACCATTATTGTGAGGCAGGCAGTGGTGGATGGGTGCAGCACTTTATTTGACTAAATTTTTCTGCCATTTATGTTGTCTTTTTCAAAATCCAAAGGAGCAAGCAAAGTCTTGTAGGGTACACTTGTTTAATAGGTGGGTAGACCAGACTATGTGTTTGTTCATTCTGAGTGCCATCATATTGTTCCAAAAAATGCTAATGAAAAGTTAACTTCTTGCAATGTAAAATCAAAGTATAGGACATACTGTAAAGGTTATCAATTATTGTCAACAACCTGTTGTTGTCTCTTGCCTCAAATTCCCCACAAATGAAAACCTTGAAGGACAAACAAAAGTAGTATTTTGAAAGAGATCACTGAAATAAATTTCTACTGCCTTAACCTTTTCACTCCAAAAATCTCTTTAGTAATTCTCCCTACTGTCTTCCATGCAGTTCTTGTGAAGTTGATTTAGAGAATTTGGTTTTGTATCAACTAAGAATCCCCATGATATTTTCCTTTATTCCCATCACTTGCCTGCTTGATATTGTATTGATATTGTAAGGGGAAATTCTACCTTGGTCACTGATGGGAGTTTAAGGGTTAAGCCTATGATTTGAACAAAGTGCTGCCCAACAGCACTGAATGGTACACAGTAGATTGAAATATGGCCAATTTAATGTAAGGAAAATATTGTAGCTCAGGCAGATGCTTTAAACAATCACTGTATAGTGACATCTACAAAATGCTGGTATGAGGGAGTTGGGAAAAAATTCATACTACTTACTCTCCATTGTTTAGTTTACGTTTCTTATTCACCATTTATTGCAGTTTTTTTAGTAAAGTATACTTTCTAGATGCATTTTAGGGATGTTGGAAAGGGAGAGTGTAAATTAATAATGGAAATGTAGAAATATGCAATCTGTTGACAGCAGAATTCAGGGACTTTCTAGTGTAAATTGAGAATAAGTAATAATAATAATAATGATGATGATTATAATAATATCAATAGTTAACAGTTATTCATTGGAGAAGTGGTGATAAAACATGGTGGATATTTATAGAGCCACAAAGCTGTAAGGTTAATTTCCAGCACTTTCACCAATGGTGGTGAATAATTGTTATAGTATATCAATGCTACACAAAAACCAAAAAAAAAATTAGTTTATTTCTGTCAATTTACCAAAAAAGGGTTTAAAATTAAATTGTTCACACCCAATTTTGTCTCTGTGGCTGCTCGTAGGTTAACCCTTTAACTCCCACATCAAATTTGTAATTCTCCTCACTGCCAACCACACAATTCTTATAATGTTAGTTCAGAGAATTTAGAATTGGGTCAAATAATTATTCCCAAATTTATATTTTTCCTTATTCTCATCACTTAGCTTGTTGATATTGTATTGATATTGTGATATTGTAAGGAGAAATTCTGTCTTGGTCACTCATGGGAGTTAAAGGGTTAATGGTACTTGCTTATCATTTCTGAACCAGCCAATCAGCTTCAGCAAAAAGCTCTCTTCACCTGTGTGGTATACACTTATAACTATTGTTATCATTATTATTTACCAAATGGTGTGCATGATAATTGTTCCCAGGTATTTTCATGTTATGTCTTAAAATATAATTAAAACTTAGCAAATAGTTTATCCTGTTACTAAATTTTCAGTCAATGAAGGTGTACAGTGTAGATTACCAAATGGATATTTATTAAAATGTAAAGAAATATTCCAAGTTTTGGTTACTTAACTTAAGTTAATGCTCTAACTCCCAAGATGTGATTGTTGATCCTTCCTTCTCACTGCTACACATCTCCTTGTAAGTTATCAGGAAAATTAAGTGTTAAATCAAGATAACAACACAACCTGATAGGTTTAAGAATTCTCATTACCTGTTTGCTGAATGATGTAAGGATATTATTGGGAGAAATTATATGTTAATCAGTTCTGGGAGTTTGACTGTTAAATAGTGTGCTTTGAGCATTCAACTGATATAGTTAAGTTTTAAATTTTTGTTTCTGGGCCTCAAAGAACACATTTTCCTGTGTTTGTTTGTTTTTTTTCTATGACACCATAGAAATTAACAAATGAACTAACTTTACTAACAGTAAACTACCAACAATGCAAATTACTTCATCACCCCATCCTCACAGTTGAATGACTTCAAAACCTGAAGATGTTTAGTGGCAGAAAATTATACATCATTCCATAGTATTTCACTGTGCATCATTTCTACACATGTTACACATAACTCACTAACTACCTAACACTTGCACATGAAAAAATGGGGGCTTTCTCTCTATGGTTGTGGCTCACCACAGTCACTGTGGTAAATCAACATTTCTTGCAAACGAGCAGGGTGACCTAACAAATTTTGTCTTTTGGAATTCAGCAGTGACTTCTTTCTGTAAAATAAATATCAACCAATAGGCCAGTTCCAAATTACCTTTAGCATCTTTTTCAAAATGACATTTGGTGCTCTTCCATTTGTATGAAAGTTACTTTAATTAATTTGCATGTGAATGAAAACTTATAACCATATGAAAAGATGAGCACCAGGACTCTCTTTGGAAATGAGGCCATGGAAAATTTCCAGAAAAGCAAATTTTGTAAATACTAAGAAATAAAGTTTTCATGATATTAGTATTGGTGATAACATGATTTAGAGTGCAGTTTAGTGTTGATAAGCACAAGTAAACATTTCAAAGACATCAAAATTGCACTTGCCTTAAGGACTTGTGCAAGTTGTTGTCTTCAAAAAATTTGTAAGTGCTTATTTAAACCACATTGCCCTTGAAATCATGTTGTCACTTGTTAATAATTTACATGTAAAACATCATAGAAAGTCTATAAGGATGAAATTTTGCCAAAGCACTTTTTGCAATTTGCAATTGTGTTACAATTTTGCACTCATGTAACAAGAAAAATGCACTTGTTTTCAGCCAATCAGATGTGTAATTTTTTTAATGTATATTAATATAGGTATTATATGGGTATAACAAGGTACTGCGTCTCCTTAATGAGCATCAGACCCCCCTTTTTTATTCCAAAATTTATGTTACTATAAGATAAACAACCAATAAGTTAAGATTTAAAAAAATCTCAGCAAAGGTTCTATTTCAGGGGAATGACCTTAATCACATTGACAAATTTCCCTGATGATTCTTTGAGGTAGAGGAAGGTCACTGAAATTCTGTGGCAAAACAAGCTTCTTCACTAATTCTCTACAGTTTTCCTGAAGAGTATATGGTACTGCAACAAAATTAAAAAAATATACATTCAGACTGGAATTAATTCTTTCCATTTAACCCATTTCCATCAACTTTTTCTATGGGCAAGAAGATAGATTTTGACCATGTCAACCATTTGACTGTCAGTTTTAGATGTCATTTGATCTAGCAGGATGCGACATGGACTTTATACAATGTTCCTCAAGTATTTCAATAAATAGCCATCCTCTCTGCACATCACTCAATTAACCCCTTACACCCTTGCATCAGTGTGCATATTCATCATGCCGTTCTCTATACAATTTCTAAGGTGCTGACAAGTAGAATTTGTGATGGTAATGTTTGATTCAGGGGTTATATTATAACTTAAAGGAAAAATTAAATTCTTGTCACTCTTAGGGCAGGACAAAGCCTGTCGGAATATACTTTCAAAGCCAACAGAATTTTGAGCCCCTTGGATGCAATTTTCAGAGGTGCTGCACACAAAAAGTGGGGGTGTCGGGATTTGGGCTTCCATAAAGGGGATTCAGATAGAAATTGGCTGGTTCGTTTGTTCGTCAAATGCAATCCAGGGGTGAGTGACGTACGTGTCCACATCGTAATGACCGTTTGACGGTTCAAGTGTAGAATATAAAACCTGCCTTCCCTGGTAGTCGAGCCAAAACAATTTAACTCGACTTCTTGAATGATTGATGAATCTCACTGGCGTACCAGTTCTCGAGTGTAGAGATCCTGGAGTCGAGGAGGGTTCTTCATTTTCCATCTTTGTTTCCGACCCCTTTTCCTTTCATGTACGGTATCACAGATCGTCACTGGCTCAGAAGACAGGTTGTCATCTGACTTTGAAGACAAATTTTGCCCCAGGAACTGGAACAGTGCGAAAATGAAAATAAACCTCTCTTTATACACGACAGAACACTATCACTTTTCGGAAAAACAGAATGAATTAAACATTTTTAGAGCCAAAAATAAGTTTCATTCGACAAACAGTGTTATAGAGAAGGCAAAGGTACGAGTTGATGTAAGTCTTTCTCATAGATTTCCTCCTTCAAAAACATGTATTTACACCTGATCGGTATGATCGATATAAAACTAAAATGGTACAATTTTAAGCGTGACTACCAGAAACTGACGTGTCTTCTTCGTGATTAAGTTTTGGTTTCCCACTTCCGGATGTCACTGGAAAGAGGAAGTTGAGAGGCTACCCCGGACAGATTCATGTTGCCCACTCCCTAAGGAGGGAGGGAGTTAAGAAAGTCTCGTGGTTTCACAGTACACAGCTCAGAAGGTAGTAGGAAGTATGGCTAATCTTTGGAGATTATGGAGTTTTCTCTACGGAGTTATCCTTTGGTCGTGTATTTTACGTGCCTTTTTTGTGAGTGGTCGACTAATAAGAAAAGGCGAAGCCAGAACAAACTCGACCTTGCAAGAATTCGAGCGAGGAATGGACATGTTGGAACAATGCAAAACCTTAAAGTGCTCGTTCGCCATCGATGGAGACGAATGCGAAAAATTCAAGGAATCGGTATACACAGAAAAAGCCATAGCTATTTTCATTAACGTAAACATCGGAAATTCGACGAATAACGAAGAAACCGCACGAATGAAGAACGTTCAGGTGAAGCGAAAGTGGGCATGGCTGCGAGACGCGCGTGGAAAGTTTCTTGCCACACTACCTTACGACTTCGATATTCTTTCCCTCTCCACTTTGAAAAAGGATGTGTATAGTAGAACTTTGGAATTTACTACGACGCCTCAGTACTGCTTTGCAAACATTTCTCAAACTTGTCTACGCAGTTTTACTGCGACAGCCATCTTTGATTGTCTTGGAGGCACTTATGGCAGCCTCTGTGTGAGATCAAAAGAATATCACTGTTGTAAAAAAAAAGAAAACGGTTATGTTTGTGATAAACTCCTAAAAGACAATCAGTGGATTAAAATTGCTATAAGGTTTCTCTGGGCTTGCTCAATTGGATTTGGCCTGTTTGCACCTCTTTTGTTAAAGTATTTTCCAAAAGAGTTTAAAAAGAGACCTAGAATAAGGCCAGCGAGGTCATTGTTCACTAGAAGTGAATCAGTGTATACAAATAATGAAACCCTATCAGTGGACACAATGACATTGGGTGAGCGTCCACTGATGTTTGCTCTTGATGATGGAATGTTAGATTTACTACGCACTAAAACGGAGTCATTGGTTTTCTCAAGATTGAGTCGTTGTCTTTTTGTCATCTTGCTGAGTTCTCTGCCTTTGCTACAAGGTTTTATATACACGTACTTAAAGAAGGACGATGTGGGAGCTCCCACTGGAAAATTTCTTGGTGTTGGAGATGCATTTATCACTTTGATGGAATCAGATGAACGAATTAAACTGAGTGCTGCATATGGTTTTTGCATCATGTTAACATGCATTACAGTTGCAATCCCTAGAACCTTGTCTGATTGTGCAAGGCGGCTCTCTGGGAGGAGAGATGAGCGCACATTCCTTGGATTCAAGAAACCCGATGAGATCATCAGTATCTCAGACAAGAGAGGGTTCCAGCTGATGTACGAGAACATGGTCTTTCATCTATACTGTCTACTTAAATTAAAATTTTGGAAGTTTGTGCTCCTGGTGATGATCTATCCCTTACTAAAACTCTGCAACATTGATGTCTTTGATGAAGACCTTGCAGAGTCAGATGAAAATGTTGAACAATCAGATGAGGAAGAAAACTGTCAACTGTGCTCCAAAATTTGTAAGGTAGTGCTAACACTGCTCTTGTTTCCATTTTGGGCAGTCACTATCGCCACAGCTTTCTTCCTGTATATTTTTCCAGTTACTTATGTTGGTTTTCGCATCTGGAAAATGCTGTTCCGAATTGAAATAGAATCGCCATGCTGCCAGTACATCCCTGCATGTGTGAGAATAACAACTTTTCCAGTTTTGTACATCCTGTTTATAGTGTTTTGCATGTGTGTGGAAGCATCTTATTACATGTTAGCAGTCGTCCTGACATTGAACATCATGGTTCTGGGAAGCATTATTGGATTTACAATAATTGGACTTCTCTTTAACATTGAATTTTATTTCCCTTACATTGTTCTCAGCTTGTGGGTTATTGTATACATTCTCAGAGGAACGCACAAATATTATGCTCAATTTACCAACCTTAAGACTATTGTTTTTGAAGAGTGTGAAAAATTTGACGAAGAGACTAGGAAGGAAGCCAGCATCCGTGAAACTTTTAGTGGTGCACCTCCCGAGAGAAGATCCCCGTCACTTTCTTCCCCTCCAAGGAACAAGTCAACTTCAGCAGACTTCCTTATCACATTTGATGGTTATGGTGTTCCCAGCATCCCACTGGATATTTTCCTCGCATCCTCTCGTAAACTAATGCCTTTCAAGCGTATTATACTGGCCAAAATTTTTAAGGTGATTGCACTGGGAAGTTACCTTGTAGTGATATTCTTGTTTGTGATGTCACTGATGGAATTTAAAGCTGTGAATCCCATAGTTCAAGGACTGGCACTGTTATTTCTTGGTGGACTGCCCCTGTTGACTCAGCAAAGCCCACATCACAAAATAGAGGCTGAAGAAATCAGAGAAAGGTTTTATGTCAAGGATTTCTTGAAACAGTACACAAAGAGGGATTTGTAAGTTTTCCTTACGTAATTTGCAGTAGAGCAACTTTTGATTGTTTTAATGAACACCAAGATTTAAATATCAATTTTCTGTTCTGTTTCCAAACTTTTTTTAAATTGCCTGTTAATTTTGAGAATTGGCTGGAAAATTAAATACTAAAAATTCTCACCTAGTTGATATTTCTCTTTCTTCTCATTTCCTTTCTACTTGAAAATGGCCTCGTAGTATTATTAGGAGAAATTCCATTTTTTGTCACCCCAGGAGGGTGACAGGGTGAAATAAGTAGCAAGTAATGTGATACTTCATTGCATTTCTCTGTAATTTTTTTCCAGGAAACTTTGAGATTAACAGAGATTAAACAATTGTGACTTGCGTGTTTGCTCCCATTTTTCTGGTTTTCACAGAGTTTCCTGTGTTTACGCTGAGTTTTCATTGGCTCCCTGTGATATTTTTGTTTTAACCCTTTCACTCCTAATATCTAAGTAGTAATTCTCTTGCTGTCTGTCATAATATTCTTGTGGTATTTGTGTGGAGAATTTAGTATTGGATCAACCAATAATCCCCTCATTGATATTTTTCTCTATTCTCTACTGAGCTCAAAATTGACTATCTTTCTCATTCTATTTGTAATAATAAACAGTTCTTACTTTGATTAAAAGATGATCTCCTGTTCATGACTCGCAAAATCTTATCCACACCTTTCCAAAACTATAAACTAGAATCAATTTGCTTAAGCTAGCTTTGTTATAATACTGTTTTTACACTAACCTGCTACATGAGAAAATTCTGCACAAACAATTACCTTTGAAATCACACCCACAGAGTTGTAGTGAAGAGCACTGTGTCAGTGAAATGTCCTCTAATTATTGTTAGAAACTTATTTGTTTCTCCTTTCCCAACCTTATCGATGAAAGAATGGAAAGAGAGATCTAAAAAGAATTGTGGTTGAAAATTAAGTAGTCTTCAGCCAAGTTTGAGCACAAACGTAGTGCATGTTTCGCATTAGTGCATAGTTTCTGGAACTTAGATGTGGCCTATGTTGTGTAAAGGTTATTCAGTATTCATAGGTTATGAATATTAATTCTTCCATGTTAACTCTGTTAATTCAAATAAAAAGCCTAGGTAAGAAAAAATAAACAGGGGTGGATCTGGGGGAGGTGCAAGGAATGGGTGCCACCCTCTTTCCTGAAATGACCTCCAGCTTCCTGTTATAACTTCGCAGTCGGCAACATTATACAAAATCTGATGTATTGTTTGCTATGTAACCTCAGCAGTTCACATTATTCCCAAGTCTTCACTCTTAAAATCTGTTTGCATCACCTGTCAGTTATGTCACTCCTTAAAGGTTCACCCGCTCCTAAAAAAAACTACTGGATCCACCTGGATCCTTAGGCTGAGGTTCTAATAGTGAACGAGAAGGAATTGGAACGAACAAAAGGAGCCTTCCTAATTCGAGGAAGCGTGGGTTCTAAGTGATAATCGAAAAAATGGCGGGAGATTAAAGTTAAATACAGTATCCGTACCCGTTCATGGCTTAGGACCCGGAGAGATGTTCTTTGATGGGTGTCAATAATCTCTGGTTTATTTTAGAACCAGCCAAGAGAACGGAAAACCTCTCTGCCCTCCGCAACAAGACGCTCTGTGTGGACTTAAGTGGGTGGATTTGCGAGGCTCAATGTGCAAAAGGTTTGAAAAACAACGTAAATAAACCGCACTTGCGAAATCTTTTCTTCCGATTGCTTCACTTGACTCGACTTGGAGTCAAGTTGGTGTTTGTTGTTGATGGTAAACCACCTGAACTGAAATGGGATGCGATCGCCAAGCGAGTTCAAGCGAGAGATGACGGGCAGTTCTGCGAGGTCAAGAAACCCGCTAAAGCTAGCGCTGGCTCGGGGGCTCGTGTCGGTCGATCGCAGTTTGCGATTTGGGTCAGAGAGGTAAGATCATCTTTCTTTTACGTTTTCATTTTTTTACCAGATCTCTTTCTGTATTATGCCTGAATGTTTCTTATGCTAGAACGCAGAACTGGCGTGATTTTTTCTGCGTTTTCAGGCGAACGGAGGTAAGCGCGAAGTGCACAAGGGGAACAGCGCGAAAAAAAGAAATAACTCGAACTTCGCGCTTGCCTCCGTTCGCCTGAAAATCACGCCGGTTCTGTAGGCTATGCCTGAGGCGAATTGTAGATCCACTTTGATGCGATCACGCCGTTCCGCGCAAGAATAACTGAGGAGCTAAATTGACGCAGTGGTTGGAGAGTAGGGGGTCTTTTGTTATAATGTGTGTGGGTGGAACAATGCTGTAAGGTGCAACTTTCTCAGCTTTCTAGAGTAAAAGCACCAAAACACCCATTCTCCCCCCCCCCCCGCAGTTTATAATACATGGGATCAGGCCTGGCTAACGGTTTTTGGGTATTGAGGGTCAATTTTTTAAGGTGTGTAGTTTGTCTAAGGGTTATTTAGGTGTGTTTCTCAGAACACTGACCAACAATTTCTAAAAGTCTATGTTGCCAAAGAGAGGAATTACTTACACCCTTTTTCTTTTAAGTGTAAAAACTGGTTTGAAGAGGGGGGTAAAGGGGAAGTCTTGCTAATGTTTCACAGACATGAAGTAGATATAGTGCATTGTGAAAAATCAGATATTTGCATCTAAGTTCACACATTGCAAATAGCAAAAATTTCGTAGTTCATTGGAACCTTTAATTTGGTATCTTCACTGGTCACGAAATTTGAAAACACTTTATCCTCTATTCCAATAACCCCTTCCCCCCCCCCCCCCCTTTTTTATGAAGAAGTGTGCCTATTGATTTTCCAAATGCACAAGTCAGGTGTAAGAAATAACTTGCTGGCAGGTCGCAAATGTCAATGTACTGGCAATAAACCTTGTTTTCTTTTTTTGTAATACATTCAGTCCAATTAACCCTTCAACTCCCAGATCAAATTTGTAATTCTCCTTACTGTCAGCCATACAATTCATATGATGTTAGTTCTGAGAATTTAGTATTGGATCAACTCATTATCCCCAAATTGATCTTTTTTTATCTGGTTGATATTGTATAAACATTGTAAGGAAAAATTCTGTCTTGGTCACTCATGGGAGTTAAAGGGTTAACTCTCTTCCTTGCTGCTTGGCATTTGTTAGTAAATTAGAAAAATCCTTTTCCTTTCATGTACAGTATCACAGATCGTCACTGGCTCAGAAGACAGGTTGTCATCTGACTTTGAAGACAAATTTTGCCCCAGGAACTGGAACAGTGCGAAAATGAAAATAAACCTCTCTTTATACATGACAGAACACTATCACTTTTCGGAAAAACAGAATGAATTAATCATTTTTTGAGCCAAAAATAAGTTTCATTCGACAAACAGTGTTATAGAGAAGGCAAAGGTACGAGTTGATGTAAGTCTTTCTCATAGATTTCCTCCTTCAGAAACATGTATTTACACCTGATCGGTAAGATCGGTATTAAACTAAAATGGTGCAGTTTTAAGCGTGACTACCAGAAACTGATGTGTCTTCTTCGTGATTAAGTTTTGGTTTCCCACTTCCGGAAGTCACTGGAAAGAGGAAGTTGAGAGACTACCCCGGACAGATTCATGTTGCCCACTCCTTAAGGAGGGAGGGAGTTGAGAAAGTCTCGTGGTTTCACAGTACACAGCTCAGAAGGTAGTAGGAAGTATGGCTAATCTTAGGAGATTATGGAGCTTTCTCTATGGAATTATCCTTTGGTCGTGTATGTTACGCGCCTTTTTTGTGAGTGGTCGACTAATAAGAAAAGGCGAAGCCAGAACAAACTCGACCTTGCAAGAATTCGAGCGAGGAATGGACATGTTGGAACAATGCAAAACCTTGAATTGCTCGTTCGCCATCGATGGAGACGAATGCGAAAAATTCAAGGAATCGGTATACACAGAAAAAGTACTGGCTATTTTCATTACCGTAAACGTCACAAATTCGACGAATAACGAAGAAACCGCAGGAAAGGTCTTGGGGGAGAGTGGAGGCAATGGAATGGAGAACGATCAGGTGAAGCAAAAGTGGGTATGGCTGCGAGACGCGCGTGGAAAGTTTCTTGTCACTCTACCTTACGACTTCGATATTCTTTCCCTCTCCACTTTGAAAAAGGATGTGCCAAGTATAACTATGAAATTTACTACGACGCCTCAATACTGCTTTGCAAACATGTCTAAAACTTGTCGACGCAGTTTTATTGCGACAGCCATCTTTAATTGTCTTGGAGACACTTATGGTAACCTCTGTGTGAGACCACAAGAACATGAAGAATATAAAGAATATCGCTGTTGTAATAAAAAAGACAATGATTATGTTTGTGATGAACCCATAAAAGAGAATCAGTGGATTGAAATTGCTATCAGGTTTCTCTGGGCTTGCTCAATTGGATTTGGCCTGTTTGCACCTCTTTTGTTAAAGTATTTTCCAAAAGAGTTTAAAAAGAGACCTAAAATAAGGCCAGCGAGGTCATTGTTAAGTAGAAGTGAATCAGTGTATACAGATAATGAAACCCTATCCGTGGACACAACAACATTGGGTGAGCGTCCACTGATGTTCGCTCTTGACGATGGAATGTTAGATTTACTACGCACTAAAACGGAGTCAGTGGTTTTCTCAAGATTGAGTCGTTGTCTTTTTGTCATCTTGCTGAGTTCTCTGCCTTTGCTACAAGGTTTTATATACACGCACTTAAAGAAGGAGGATGGGGGAGCTACCACTGGAAAATTTCTTGGTGTTGGAGATGCATTTATCACTTTGATGGAACCAGATGGACTAATTGCACTGAGTGCTGCATATGGTTTTTGCATCATGGTAACATGCATTGCAGTTGCAATCCCTAGAACCTTGTCTGATTGTGCAAGGCGGCTCTCTGGGAGGAGAGATGAGCGCACATTCCTTGGATTCAAGAAACCTGATGAGATCATTGGTATCTCAGACAAGAGAGGGTTCCAGCTGATGTATGAGAACATGGTCTTTCATCTATACTGTCTACTTAAATTAAAATTTTGGAAGTTTGTGCTCCTGGTGATGATCTATCCCTTACTAAAACTCTGCAACATTGATGTCTTTGATGAAGACCTTGCAGAGTCAGATGAAAATGTTGAACAATCAGATGAGGAAGAAAACTGTCAACTGTGCTCCAAAATTTGTAAGGTAGTGCTAACACTGCTCTTGTTTCCATTTTGGGCAGTCCTTATCACCACAGCTTTCTTCCTGTACATTTTTCCAGTTACTTATGTTGGTTTTCGCATCTGGAAAATGCTGTTCCGAATTGAAATAGAATCGCCATGCTGCCAGTACATCCCTGCATGTGTGAGAATAACAACTTTTCCAGTTTTGTACATCCTGTTTATAGTGTTTTGCATGTGTGTGGAAGCATCTTATTACATGTTAGCAGTCGTCCTGACATTCAACATCATGGTTCTGGGAAGCGTTATTGGATTTACAATAATTGGATTTCTCTTTAACATTGAATTTTATTTCCCTTACATTGTTCTCAGCTTGTGGGTTATTGTATACATTCTCAGAGGAACACACAAATATTACACTCAATTTACCAACCTTAAGACTATTGTTTTTGAAGAGTGTGAAAAATTTGACGAAGAGACTAGGAAGGAAGCCAGCATCCGTGAAACTTTTAGTGGTGCACCTCCCGAGAGAAGATCCCCGTCACTTTCTTCCCCTCCAAGGAACAAGTCAACTTCAGCAGACTTCCTTATCACATTTGATGGTTATGGTGTTCCCAGCATCCCACTGGATATTTTCCTCGCATCCTCTCGTAAACTAATGCCTTTCAAGCGTATTATACTGGCCAAAATTTTTAAGGTGATCGCACTGGGAAGTTACCTTGTAGTGATATTCTTGTTTGTGATGTCACTGATGGAATTTAAAGCTGTGAATTCCATAGTTCAAGGACTGGCACTGTTATTTCTTGGTGGACTGCCCCTGTTGACTCAGCAAAGCCCACATCACAAAATAGAGGCTGAAGAAATCAGAGCAAGGTTTTATGTCAGGGATTTCATGAAACAGTACACAAAGAGGGATTTGTAAGTTTTCCTTACGTAATTTGCAGTAGAGCAACTTTTGATTGTTTTAATGAACACCAAGATTTAAATATCAATTTTCTGTTCTGTTTCCAAACTTTTTTTATTGCCTGTTAATTCTGAGAATTGGCTGGAAAATTAAATACTAAAAATTCTCACCTAGTTGATATTTCTCTTTCTTCTCATCACCTTTCCACTTGAAAATGGCCTCCTAGTATTATCAGGAGAAATTCCATTTTTGTCACCCCAGGAGGGTGACAAAGTTAAATAAGTAGTAAGTAATGTGATATTTCATTGCATTTCTCTGTAATTTTTTTCCAGGAAACTTTGAGATTAACAGAGATTAAACAATTGTGACTTGCGTGTTTGCTCCCATTTTTCTGGTTTTCACCAGAGAGTTTCCTGTGTTTACGCTGAGTTTTCATTGGCTCCCTGTGATATTTTTGTTTTAACCCTTTCACTCCTAATATCTAAGTAGTAATTCTCTTGCTGTCTGTCATAATATTCTTGTGGTATTTGTGTGGAGAATTTAGTATTGGATCAACCAATAATCCCCTCATTGATATTTTTCTCTATTCTCTACTGAGCTCAAAATTGACTATCTTTCTCATTCTATTTGCAATAATAAACAGTTCTTACTTTGATTAAAAGATGATCTCCTGTTTGTGGCTTGCAAAATCTTTTTCACACCTTTCCAAAACTATAAACTAGAATCAATTTGCTTAAGCTAGCTTTGTTATAATACTGTTTTAACACTAACCTGCTACATGACAAAATGCTGCACAAACAATTACCTTTGAAATCCCACCCACAGTGTTGTAGTGAAGAGCACTGTGTCAGTGAAATGTCCTCTAATTATTGTTAGAAACTTATTTGTTTCTCCTTTCCCAACCTTATCGATGAAAGAATGGAAAGAGAGATCTAAAAAGAATTGTGGTTGAAAATTAAGTAGTCTTCAGCCAAGTTTGGGCACAAACGTAGTGCATGTTTCTCATTAGAGAGGGTGGCTATAGGTTTTGCTGTTGTCCAAAGCCTCTATTTTTGACATGTAATGGTTGAAATGCGAAGCCCTGGTTATGAAAATAAAGTTTTATTTTAAGCTAAGTCAATCTCATTTTCACTAATCTTTTCAGTTACTTGATAGTTTCTGGAACTCAGAGGTGGCCTATGTTGTGTAAAGGCTATTTAGTATTCATAGGTTATGAATATGGATTATTTCATTTTAACTCTGTTAATTCAAATAAAAAGCCTAGGTAAGAAAAAATAAACAGGGGTGGATCTAGGGGAGGTGCAAGGAATGGGTGCCACCCTCTTTCCTGAAATGACCTCCAGCTTCCTGTTATAACTTCGCAGTCAGCAACAGTATACAAAATCTGATGTATTGTTTGCTATGTAACCTCAGCAGTTCACATTATTCCCAAGTCTTCATTCTTAAAATCTGTTTACATCACCTGTCAGTTATGTCACTCCTTAAAGGTTCACCCCCTCCTAAAAAAAACTACTGGATCCACCTCTGATAAAAGTCAACACTAACAGGGTACATACCATAGAAATTATTTCTTGCAATTAAGATACAAAATGTGTGTAACACAGGTTAAAATTCCTGTAATTCATATAGGTAATAAGTAATTTTCACATTATTTGAATTATTGGTGATATAAAGTGTGGCTGTGTATTTTCACCAAGAGAATAATGTTGTTTGCATTGACTAGTAAAACTATTCAAAGTTAATGTTAATCTCATGTTCCACAATCAGAGGGATTGTAGTTTGTAGGTAGTTTTGATTAAAAATATAAGACTTTGCAATTGTAATTCTGTGTAATTTCTAATTGCAATAAATGAAAGAATGGAATATGTACCATGGTTCTCAAATAGCCAAGCTGCTATGTGTAAATAGCTACAGCATTGCTATGCTGGCCAGGTATATGGTGATTGCAAAATTGAAAAGGAATCCAGAATTCTGGTTCGTAGGTCTGGTGCGGATTTATTTTCAACCCGCACTACTTGGACCAAAAGAAAATCCTGCATTTTATCTCTCTGGATTCGCCTAAAGGCTTCATTTTTTCGCAAATTTTGTTACTTAGGCTGAGGTTCTAATAGTGAACGAGAAGGAATTGGAACGAACAAAAGGAGCTTTCCTAAATCGAGGAAGCGTGGGTTCTAAGTGACAATCGAAAAAATGGCGGGAGATTAAAGTTAAATACAGTATCCGTACCCGTTCATGGCTTAGGACCCGGAGAGATGTTCTTTGATGGGTGTCAATAATCTCTGGTTTATTTTAGAACCAGCCAAGAGAACGGAAAACCTCTCTGCCCTCCGCAACAAGACGCTCTGTGTGGACTTAAGTGGGTGGATTTGCGAGGCTCAATGTGCAAAAGGTTTGAAAAACAACGTAAATAAACCGCACTTGCGAAATCTTTTCTTCCGATTGCTTCACTTGACTCGACTTGGAGTCAAGTTGGTGTTTGTTGTTGATGGAAAACCACCTGAACTGAAATGGGATGCAATCGCCAAGCGAGTTCAAGCGAGAGATGGCGGGCAGTTCTGCAAAGTCAAGAAACCTGCTAAAGCTAGCGCTGGCTCGGGGGCTCGTGTCGGTCGATCGCAGTTTGCGATTTGGGTCAGAGAGGTAAGATCATCTTTCTTTTACGTTTTCATTTTTTTACCAGATCTCTTTCTGTATTATGCCTGAATGTTTCTTATGCTAGAACGCAGAACTGGCGTGATTTTTATATTACATGGGATCAGGCCTGGCTAACGGTTTTTGGGTATTGAGGGTCAATTTTTTAAGGTGTGTAGTTTGTCTAAGGGTTATTTAGGTGTGTTTCTCAGAACACTGACCAACAATTTCTAAAAGTCTATGTTGCTAAAGAGAGGAATTACTTACACACTTTTTCTTTTAAGTGTAAAAACTGGTTTGAAGAGGGGGGTAAAGGGGAAGTCTTGCTAATGTTTCACAGACATGAAGTAGATATAGTGCATTGTGAAAAATCAGATATTTGCATCTAAGTTCACGCATTGCAAATAGCAAAAATTTCGTAGTTCATTGGGACCTTTAATTTGGTATCTTCACTGGTCACGAAATTTGAAAACACTTTATCCTCTATTCCAATAACCCCTTCCCCCCCCTTTTTTATGAAGAAGTGTGCCTATTGATTTTCCAAATGCACAAGTCAGGTGTAAGAAATAACTTAGGATTCATGAGATAACTCTGAAGACATTTATGAGGTTTTTGTAAATTTAATACTTGAGAGCTGGCAGGTCGCAAATGTCAGTGTACTGGCAATAAACCTTGTTTTCTTTTTTTGTAATACATTCAGTCCAATTAACCCTTCAACTCCCAGATCAAATTTGTAATTCTCCTTACTGTCAGCCATACAATTCATATGATGTTAGTTCTGAGAATTTAGTATTGGATCAACTTGTTATCCCCAAATTGATCTTTTTTTATCTGGTTGATATTGTATCAACATTGTAAGGAAAAATTCTGTCTTGGTCACTCATGGGAGTTAAAGGGTTAACTCTCTTCCTTGCTGCTTAGCATTTGTTAGTAAATTAGAAAAATCTTTTTTTAACACAGTGCCGGAAGTTGTTGAACCTACTAGGGGTGCCATGTCTTGAGAGCGAGGGTGAAGCTGAAGCACTTTGTGCATGGCTTGATCTCCATCAGGTAGGTTTAGAGATATTTTACTTCTTGTTTTGAAAGGTGTGTTTGTTCATCACGGTTATAATGATAAGTGATATTTCACCCTTTATACCCTAACTTCAGTATGCATATTCTCAATACTGTCCTCTTTTCATTTTACTTACAAGGAGAATTTGTCAGAATGAATGGTGAAGGGCTTATGCTTGAATCATCAACTTTGAAACTCTTTATGGTGGCTTAAATATTGCCTATTTGTGATCTTATATTGCCTGAGTATAATTAATTTTTGATAAATTTGATATTGAGAGTCTGATTTTTAATAACTTTTGGTATAGCAAATAAAAGTTATACTTAACAGTAAATAAATCAATTACCTACAGATTGTGGATGGGTGTATAACCAATGATGGAGATGCATTTTTGTATGGAGCTAGAACAGTGTATAGAGATCTTTGTATCAGTGGAAAGGTGAGGCATCTTCAGACTGTGGTCCATGTAGTTCAATCATCTTACTGTGTAACTAAGTAAACTGTGAGCAACAGAATCACGGAATGTTATTGTATTCCAGGGAAAAAGCTATACAGGCATAACAAAACCAAGAGAAATGGATGTGTTCTGCTGTAAGAAAACAATTTGAAAATTTGGGGTGAACTGGTAAAAGTAGGAGCAAACTGGCTATGCTTCAGGAGGTGAACTTGCATAAGTGGAAGGGAATGAACTTGCAATATAATGGGGCAAAACCTTCATAAACATTAAAAAAAAATCCAGCTTTAAGGTGTTCAAGCTTCTTTTTTGTTTAAATTTTCAGGGTGGATCAGTAGAATGTTACAAAATGGAAGAGATTGAAGCCAAGCTTGGTATGTCACACCATGACTGCCCTCATCATGTTTTCCAAAGAAGTCCACCATTGTTCTTTCTTCATTTTTCTCTTTGGGAACTCTTGCTCTGAGTGAAAATTCTTGCATTCCTCACTAGCTCTGTTCACTGGAGAAATCATATCCTAGAACCCACTATTTTTGTCTTAGATTCCTCTCCATAACCTTATTTTGAATACTAATGTATGTGATTCTCCTTAGTATACATTCTTCATTTTATCGAAACTCTAGTTCAACACTTGCTTGACAAATCACCTGGGCCCTGGGCTTGCCAACAGGGGTAACAATAGTGAAAATTAGGGGAATTTAGTGGCAAACATACTATGAGGTGGCTTTGCTTGTCCACTGTTTCCAGATCAAATTGGAATTTCAAGTGTTATTTTCAGTGAAGGGAGGAAACAAGAGGATTTGGAGAAAATCCCTCAGAGCAAGAAAGAGAACCATCAATAAACTCAACCTAAAATTTTACCCTGGCCACAGGGGTGGGAGGTCAGCACTTTCACCTCTGTGCCATCCCACTCCAATCTTCAACAGATGGTTAAATTAAAACTGTTATATGTTAGCTTTTTCATGCTTTATTTTAGATCTCAACAGACAGAAGCTGGTTGCACTTGGCATACTTCTAGGATGTGATTACCTTCCACAAGGCGTATCAGGAGTAGGAAAGGAAATTGCCATGAAGCTAATTAAGAGTGTCAATCACAAAAACCTACTTGACAGGTTAAAATAATTACTTAAAATTCAATATTATCTACTTTTAATTAATTGCAATCAATGCCAGTTACAGTATGCTTCATTTATTGACCTCTCTTGATTGAGTAGCTGATAAGAGCATGACTTGCCTTTAAAGGCTCACAGATTTAATTGATATTTGGCTCAAAATTCTATGGAAAACCACAACAAGTCCTAAAAGCAAAAGTTGTGAACATTTCATCATTTCGTCATTCATCATGATTTTGCACCTCTGGTATCAATAGCAATTTGTGCTCTTACAAGGTGACACTGACACAGTCATGACATTCTTAACAATAGTTTACAGATGATACAGCTGTTAGGCTGTTTTCATTTGTTTTGTACTTGCATTAATTCTGGATTGATTTCTTTAAGGTTCTATGAATGGACAAAGGTTTCAGACCATGATGAAATTCTTTCAAGCGTGGAGAAGCTTGTGAAATGGTAAATCTTTTGATAAAGTGACAAAATTCTTAAAACAGTTGCCAAACCCTGTAACTAACCAATCTTAAGTGGAGCACCATGTTATTAATAGTCTTCAATGGATATTGTAGGTGGACTAGATGACCAGTGTAGAGTTTTTTATTTGAATTCAGCAAAAATTTTTTCGCTGAACAAATTTTGCTTGACAAAATATATGAGCTGTCTTTAAATAAAACCCTAGATACAAGCATGAAACTGTGACAATGGCCTAAAAGTGATATTATTTTTATTGAATAAATGCCTTAGAGCTTTTTTTCCAAACAGCCATTTTTTAACCACCAGTAATTTAACTTGTTTATAGCAAAGCTCTAAAAGACAAGAACTTCCCACATCCAGAGGTAAGTGAACATAAATTAGTAAGAGACATGTTCTGTACAATATTTAAAACGTTTATTTAGTGACCCAACCAAGAAGTAGTGGAAGTAATTAACCCTTGGATCCCTGAGAGTGACCTATATCTAATTTCTCCTTACAACATCACCTTTGAATCACAAATTAAGGTCATGAGAATAAAGGAAATGATCACCAACTGTTGATTGTTGCACAAATTCTCCTTGTCATTACCCTAGGAAAAGTATATTGGACAGTATGGAGAATATGCATACTGATGTTAGGGTGTAAAGGGTCATATAGAAGCTTAGTAATTGTTTCATTGATTGCAAAGATTCAGAGCAAAATGTCAAGTAATGTATTCTCTTGCATAGGATCATAAAATGGTAGGTCTCTTGTTGAATGTCTCTGTTTCAGACTGTTTTTGGTTTCTCATCATCAGGTTATTCAGGAATTTCTGTCACCAAAAGTTGTCCCTCAGCAAGTTTCCTTAAAGATCTTCAATCCAGATCTAAGAGGCTTGCAGGTGACTGTAACCTGTAGTGAACTTAGTCATACATGTATAGTGTAGCTTAACAGTATACTACGATTGTATGAATCATATTTTGAGGAAAACCTCAAGGAGATAAAGTTTAGCATTCATTTAACTAATACTCCTTTATGCCATACTAATGCCTCATTTTTTTATTTACTGTGTTCAGTATTTCAAATTTTAAATTCATTAAACTTTGTTTGCATTATTTGTTGTGCCTTTCTTTATTGTAAAAAGGCAAATTCCCTCCCAGGTTATATTGATTTCCTTTTCTTAACCTGTTCATGAAATATATTTTTTTCTATTTCACATAATTTGTGCATATGGGCAAATATATATTCCAGTTTGTGAGCACTAAAAGTTAGGAATTGTTCACTCTTCTAGGAATTCTGCCTCAAGCACTTGGAGTGGCCTGAGGAATATATCACAGAAAAGGTTATATTGAATTTTATATCATGGAATACTTCTTCATGCTTATTTCATACTGAGGATGATAAAGAAAGTTACTGTATGCATGAAGAATGCTTGTCAATGAAAGCTTAGTTCAAAGAGATTTCTTAAATTCTAGGTTCTTCTATTGATCACCTATTGGCAAATGACATCATCGCTAGAGAATCACACAATGATACTCATTCAACCAGAAAGGTAAAACTAACTTTAGAGTGGCTGGAATGTTAAACTTTATTCTATATTGATCTGCATAGAACATACCATTCCTAATGAGTAATTCTCAGTTACTTTGATCAATACAGGCTTATCATTAAATTAAGATCAGTGTACCAATATGGTGTTTTATCTTGTATTTAGGATTGTAAAATCTCGTGTCCAACAGAGGATTGAATGTTATGAAGTTGAATGGAAAAACCTTAAACTTGGAGAAACATGTCCAGTTTCTTTTGTGACCATTGAGAGCAGAGAGGTATTACCAGGATTTGAAACAAATTGTTTGGAAAAAAATTGCTCTACCAAATGTAATTTAGTAGAGATTGATGAATGAAAGTGATGAAAAACAAGAAGAGGAAAATCATTTAGTTATGAATTTAATTTAAACACATTATCAAGGCTTAAGATTATTATATAAGGAAAATAATGAAAGGATTTCATAGGCTCCTACATTCATCTCCTCATTTCTTGCACCAATCTTTTCCTACATCAAACTCTTGGCAGCACTTCACTTTCTTGCAATAATTTCTTTGAACCTGTTATGTAATTATAGATGATGAGTAGGTGCATGATTAAATCAAATGACCTGTAGGAATTTAAGAAAACCTCTATTCTAGGTTGTATGATGTTCACTGTACATGGCATTTTATTGTGACTATAAGAGACTCACCAGAATCTTTTCAGAATTTTTTGTGCCATTGGGTTAAGCTGCTTGCAGTCTAGCCTTTTATTGTAGGGGGATTCCAAACTGCATGGTCATGAGTTTTGAATCTGATGAGTCTCTTCAGTGAGACGAAATGCAGTCATGAACTATTTTTTCATTAGTAATTGTGAGTATTTTCTTGCGGCAATTATCGGTACTATTGTATGGTATAATCAATATGAGGCTTTTGATTTGAGATACCAAATATTCTTAACCTTGACTTTTTTCAGCTTTTTACTCAAGCATATCCTGAGGTTGTTGAAGAATTCCACATGAATGAAGCAATGAAACTGTCCAAAAAAACAAGTAAGCCGATAGGATATTCCTCCTTGCTGATCCTGACCCGTCTTTCAATCTTCCGAGGGAAACCGTGATCATAATGAGTGACATAATGAGTTTTTACTTAGGTTGTTGAATTAACTAAGCTTCTACCTTTCAATGTATTTAATGTATGTGCTGGTATTTATTTGTTATTTCAGAAAAGAAGAAAGCCACTACATCTGTGTCCTCTTCAGAATATCTTGAAAATGAAGTGGAGTTTCTATCAAGGCAGCTCGAAGATATAAGTGTGGGTCATTCTCAACAATTGCAAAGTTCTGAGCCTAGCAGTTTATTCAGCGATGTCTCAACTAATGATTCCCTGCAAGATGTTATTGACTCTGTTCTTCCAACATTCAGTGGTTACTCACTACATCCACCAGGGATGAAACTCTCACTTGTCAATAGTGGTCATCCTGATAGTGATGATGATGGATATCATGATGACAGTGATGACAATGATGACAATGATGATGATGATGATGAGGATGTTGACATAAAAGAGTGCAATGTGAATATACCTGGGGATCCCAATTCATTACAGAGGGAATTAGCTCCAGATAATCTTGATTCTGAATATGGGTGTGGAGTTGATGGCAGTTATGGGGGGATATCAAAATCTTTGATGTTAAGAGATGTTCAAGCAACCCAGTGTCATCTTCAAGTTGATGTTTCCATTGAGAATCATGACATGACAGATAAGAAAATTTCCAATGTTAAAACAAATGAATATCCAAGGAAAAGACATGAAGCAAGGACAGTGGAGGAGGTTAAATCCATTTCAGAAAGTACAACTCAAAATGACTTTAAGTCCAGAAATATAAATGAACATGGAAAGAAATTTATGTTAGTAAATAATATAAAAAAATCAAAGCAAATGACAGTCTTAAGCGAGGCTGATGTTATTGAAATTTTTGGGTCCAGTGATGAGGATGATGATAGCAAATCATTTTTGTCAAGGCAGGTCTCTTCAAAATTCACAGAAAAGACATTGAAAGGAAGTGTAAGTAAGATCAAGTCAAGAAATGAAATTCCTGGTTTTGTCACTGAGTCCTCAGAGATGAAAAGCTTACTGGGACCAGTCCATTATGCAAATTCAGACTTTTTAGGCCAAACTCATCAGCACAATTTCCCTGAGGAATATAGTTTTAGGACAAATGAGTGTGTGCCAGGTAGTTTGCAAGAGTTTTTGAGGGATCATTCAAGGGCTTTCTTAGGTAAAGATGACGTGAAGTATGTAAATGACACAAAGAGAAGCAAGAAGGAACTACTAGAATCCAAATGGCAAGTTCTTAAGCCACAGAATAATGGCCTAATCAGTACACCTCAGAGTTCAAATTGTAAATCCAAAACAGCTGTGAAATCTGATGGTTTCTCTGATGTTTACTCAGCTGGTAGATATGAAGAAGTTCAAGGAGATAAGTGTGGGAAAGAAAATGTTGATTCACCATTTGATGATTTTATGCCTGCTCCTCTGTCAAAACGACTGGCAAAGCAGCTGAGAGGCAAACAAAGACTTGCTAGTCTTCATTCCATTTCATCTGTTACAGATGATAAATGAACCAAAAAAAGGAGTCTTAGACACAGAGAAATGCTAATAATGGTTCTAAAATATATCAAGTTTATTTTTTACTATTGATAACATTAAAATATACTATTTTCAGTAATCTGTTCTAATAAATCAAGTTCAAATGGAAAGTCCGAAGTTGAAAGTTCACTGTTTGTTAAACACTGATATTCCAATCTGTACTTCATGTAGATGAGATTTGATCTGTGCCACCAGTAAAAAGCTACAACAATAAATAGGTGCCACCATTGATGGCTTGATCCAACATAGTTTAGTTTACCTGCAAAAGGAGAAGGAAAAAGTTATGGGTCACCATAAGTACTACATACCTTAGGCCTCTCCCATAGAATGTTCTGTTTCCCATTGCCCAACCCAACCTTTGTTTTGGAATTTCAGATGATTAAGACTTTGCCTCAAAGTTATTGTTAATTAATTACCCTAATTAACTTTAGCTTGTATATTGTATCAGGAACATTCTGCTCAGGAAAACTGGTAGAAAAGGACACATGAATCCAAGCTTTTCTTGAACTTGGGCTCTCTTCAGTTTTTTTTCAAGTTTTTCCCCAACTGACAGAGCCACTTTCACCGCAGGAAAGGCGATGGGAAATGAAATGAGCACTGTATGGTAAGAAAACTTAATAAACCCTTTGACCCCTAAGAGTGACTAAAATCTAATTTCTCCCAACAATGTAACCCCTAAATCACATGTTAAGATTATGAGAATAAAGGAAATGATCAGCAACTAAAGAAAAGCTTGTATGAGTCATGATTGTTAAACAAATTCCCCTTGTTAACACCTTAGTAAATTTAATAGAGAACAGTATGGAGAATACCCATATTGATGTTGGGGTGGAAAGAGTGAAAACAGTATTTTTTGGGGTGCACTCAGGACTAAATGAGCTTGTGCAGTCGACACAAACCACAATTATTCACCTCGGTTAAAGAAAGTGGTGGATATCAATCACAATTTAGTGAAAAATAGCAATTCTAGCTAACAATTTTAATGTAATTATCATTTTGAACACAAGTTTCATGTATTTAATTTTAAATTAAAGCACAATCACGTTGTTTACTTTACCTGGGAAATATCGTTCTGGTATTTTAAGTGCATAAAATCCTAAAGCAAGAATTCCCAGCAAATACATGACAACCACTTTTGGAATGAAGAGCTAAAAGAACAATTAAAATGTGTTAGATTTCAGGTAATAAAAGTAAATTTATAATACTTTTAATTTAATAATACTTTTAGAATACTGTTGAGAAGAATGATTTAGAGACTTTCATTTTGAAAATAAATCACCTTTACCCTGCATTTCAATTTGCTGATTCTTAAAGTGGATCTCTCATTAGAATGGATTTCCAAAGGTGAGCTTCAAAGCATGAGAATTTGCAAACAAATTGCACCTAAAAAATCAAAGTATCTTGTACACTGTTTTGGTTATCATCAATGATAATCTTCTCCAAGGTAAAACATCTGGGTAGCGAGACCTATCCCCCTTAAACTAACTTTTGTGTACCTACCCTCACAGAGAAGTCATTCCATCCTCCAAGCAGCAGTACCCAGTGGATTGCTGGGACCACACCATATGCCACCAGGCTACAGAACAGTAAAAGACGTCTACTTGCCCAATGTGATGTCAAGAAAGAATGATGAAATTGAAATGCCAATGAAACAAAAGTCAGAAGAATCACACCACCCAGGTAAATGCTTTGCCAAGTCTAGAAGATCAATTCAAAGTAAAAAGTATTATTTTAGATTTCTAGACTTAACTGTTTCTAAAAAAAAAAAAAAAAGTTTTTCGAAATTCAAATACCTTGCTATAACAAAGTGTGAAGAAATTTCCCTCACACTATGTTATAGCAAGGTATTTGAACCACCAGTGATTATATACTGATGTGATAATAGATCATCCTCATGGCCTAAAAATTATATAAGGTAAATTTTACCGTTGATTATGTACTCTGATCATGCTGGTGAGGGCTGTCCCAATAGGGACTGTTGACAGTTACAATGGCCGAAGTTCCAACAACCTGAGTGGAAGTCATGATCAGAGTCTTTATATCTCACATATGCTATGCATGTCACATGCCTGCCCATTAAAGCTGTCGATCACTTGTGAATGCTGGAGAATCTCACACCTATGACTCACAATTCTAGAGTGCTACCCTTTATCAACTACCAAGCAATAGAAATCTAGTGTTCATAACCTAAATATTTACCCTTTCACTCCCAAAGTCTTATTAGTAATTCTCCTTGCTGTCTCTCTGATGTAATGTGAGTTTGGAGAAATTGGTATTGGATTAACTAATAATCCATTATTTTGATTTTCTTTTTTCTCATTACTTGTCTGCTCCATGTTGTATCAGAAGTATAAGGAGAAACTCTGTCTTGGTCACTTGTGGGAGTTAAAGGATTAAAAAAAATTGAATATAGATTCCCACTAACATTTATCTGAATAAATATATATTCCAAGATACACTGTATATCCCTTACCACATGACAATAAAATGCGTAGTAAACCGCAGGCACATAGCAAGCACACACACCAAGTGAGACGCCAGCCAGGTCAAGTGACAACCAAAGGTGAAAAACTCTTTCAGAGTGACAGCAAAATAAATGATAGAAGGCAGAAAAGAACATGCAAATCTGGAAAAGAGGAAACATGCCACTGTTCAGGAGTAAGGATGAGCATTTGGTGAGCACAAGTTGGAAGCCTGCTTTGTTCTGTAATTGGCCATTTTACAGTTGTGTAGTTAGTTGCCAAGCCTTTGATTTGGAGTGAGGCTGAAGGTAACCTTGTTGTGATAGAGACCAGTGTCTAGTTAACATGATGACAAAGTAATTTATATTTGAAAAGCAGCAAGGTTTGTATCATCACAAGTTCACCCTTAGCCTCACCCCCATTCAAAGGCTTGGCAACCAAGCACACAATAATTGCTTATTTTAAACAGCCTTCAAGATTCCATGGGCAAAGTGAGTTTGGGGATAAGTTTATATTAACAGTAATAACATGGTGCTTGTCAAAAGTTAAATTCAATAGTACTGTCTTGAAACAAAACAAACCATTACTGTTTGCTTTATCTAGTAGGATGAAGGATTCTGGAACAATGCAAAATTGTTTGAATTTTTTTATTTCATCCACTTTCAAGGTGTCTTTCTTACCATATAGCCAATAAGTAAACATGTGAGCACCACATGATCAGAAAAAGTTCCATTGTGTTCTGGAATCTTGGCTAAGTTATCAACAAGGAGAAGGTAAAAGAAGTACAAGAATCCAAGTAAGTGAGACCAGATGTTGATGGACTCATTGGACAGTACAAAGAGACTGCAAAGTGAAGAGAAATTTCAAAGGTCAGAGTAATTTTACAAATAAAGAATTTTTACTCTTTTCACCTGAACATCAGTATGCAAGTTCTCTATGCTGTTCTATATAATTTCCTATAGTTCTTACAAAGAGAATTTGTCTAACAATCAAGAGCTTCTTGAGTTTGTGGTCATTTCCTTTGTTCTCAAAACCTTTATGTTTGATTTAGGGTGAAGCTGTTGGGAGAAATTAGATGCTTATCACTTTTAGGGGTTAAACTAAGAAGAGGTGTTGGACCTAATCCCACCTTGATATGTATGAAATTACGAGGAGTATAATTTTTGAAACTGCTTCTCCAGGCTACTCATTTGCAGAAAGTGAGTTAATCAGCTATGTAGTTCATCCCCTAATTTTATCAGCTGAAGTTTCCAAGAAAGTTTGGTGGTGCTCATTCATACTCCGCCTGGATTAAGAAACCATTAGCGCAACACAATGACGCTAAACAGGGCAGTTCCCTTGACCTTAAAATGCAACATTAAGCATACTTACCATAAAGCCACTCAAAAAGGGCGAAAATATTGCCATGCTAACCACGAGCCCACAAAAAAGGTAAAAATATTGCCTCAATGTAATCAATTCTAATGACACCACCTTTTTCTGTTGAGGGTTAATAATTAATCGAAGAAGTAGAAACTTTCTGGAGTTCTAAGGCTATGATAATTGGGGTTAAGAGAAGTAATCAACATATTATTTATTTGTAACCTTTCTTTCTGAATATTCTGCTTACCTCCCATGAAAGACTTGTCCCTGTATGCATGCTGTCAAAAGTAACCCCAATGCAACCCGTAACAAAAGCAAAGCCACACCCAAGGGAGAAAGACTACTGCCCCTTCTACAAACCTTTTGATGCACATTTTGAAAGATAAGAAAGCCCGGTAACCAGACGTTACGTACGGATTTCCTCTTAGGAAGTACGGGACATCGTGGTAGTCATACAATTTCACAACCTTCGAATCCAGAAGAAAAGTACTTTTCAAATCTTTCTCGAACCCTCTCTCGTTTAAGTCCATTTGAATGCTCGGGAGATCAGCCATCTTTAATGTTCTCGATGTCCGATCTTCATTAGTAGTGTGTTTTTACAGCGGACAACCAAAATCAAGGCGAATGGCAGAGTCCTTGGTTACTAGGAGGTTTCGATTCTGGAGAGTATTCTCTCTGCTGCGTTTTCTTGTCCTTGCATTCACACGCTTTTAGTTGTATTTTCTGTTGACGTGACCAGGATTGGAGGAGGAGTTCCAGCAGAATTCCCTACAGATTTATTCTTCAAAGTAAGCGGAAATAATGATATCAATAATTGCCGGGCGTTCTAAGGTCCCCTAATCCCTTTTCTTCTCGTGGTCCTCCCGTGACTGTTTTCGATCGTGCGTTTACCCAAATTTGGTCAAGATCTCCAAATATAGATTGAAATGAGCGGAAATGAAGATAGAATACTCGTTCTATCGGAAGCCAGTCAACAAATGTTTTTGGGAAGCGATAAGGAGCGTGGAGTGTGAATTGTGTGCCTCTCTTGTTTTGGGATAAAATATGTCTTCGGCTCGAGAAGCACGCTTGAGAGATCTACCTCATCCCAATTTAAATGACGTTCTTAAATCCAACACTTACAGCGCCATCAAACTCCTCAAAACAGGTAAACGCAAGTACAATTGTCTGCATGTGTACTACACCTAATATTCGCCTGACTTGTTGTGGTTATATGTGCATTGTTCACCTTTCTTTATGACATTTTGAGCATATCCTTACACTAAAAAAATCCTAAATGTAACGTTGTCATCCTCGTGTAGGGATTCCAATGAGTTATAACGACGAGATTCTGCTAATGATACCTATGTGCTAATATAGAAAATTCATGCGAGAATTCTTAATATGAAATTTTTAAACATTGACCGCATTATTTTGTTATTGTCTGAGACATTCTAAATATAGTGATTTTTCATTCATTATTCATTTATTCCTACAATACTATGCAAAAACTAAAATTATTTTAATTAGTTCACCGGTGAGTTGCTAGTTTAAACTATGGAGACTTGTAACGTTTTTAACATCATACAGTTTTCAGGTTGTTAAACCAAATGAATACCTCAACCTATATCAGACATTGTTTGAAGTGTTCAATACCACGGTGGTTGCCTTCTTAGGAAAACGCTGTTAGTATTAGATAATTAGAAAAAATGTTATAAATCCTCAACGTAACCATTTACGGAAAGATTTCCGCAAAACCCAATACTTTCGCAAACAAAATTGTTTTGCAATTCTATTATCCAGTACGCATGATCAATTAATTATGGGGTTGTGCGGAAATCTTGCCTGTTTAATTCATAACTAAAAGATTTAATGAAACAAAGTTAAATTCTATTATAATTTTAGGTTTAAGCTTATTTTTTGCACAATAATATAATGTTCACAAACTAAATGAGTTTGTGCTGCTGTAATGACCTCAGCAAACTACCAAATTGTTTCATCAAAACCTATGTTTTTGCAGTCATCACCCTAAAATTTAGGGAAACGTATGATTTTAGCCGAGAGAACCAAAGAAGTCTGTTAAATTGATGTGACATACATTAAAAGATGTGAACACAGCAGTGTGATTTGACTGAAGGAGGTTACCTGTGCTTCAACTTAAAAAAAAAAACTGACACTGTGTTAGTTATAATCATAGATAAAAAGATTAAACTCATATACTATGTTTTGAGACAGCTGATTGGAATCTGATAGTCACATGATGATCATAGCATTGTATTTTCTTCAATTTGTTGACAAAAGTTTGCTAAGAAACAATAATATTTTGATAAATGAAGAAAAGAAGCATCCTATAGTTTGTCAAACCTTAGTGTGTTCATGAAGGATAATTGGTGGAGAAATGTTAGCTCTTGAGGTTGGAGGAGATGTCATACAAAAATAATTTTGTTATCAGAGTAAGTCAAGGATTATTTTAAGAGACATTGACACAGCTGGCAACTGCATTTCACTTAGCACAATGTCATACAGCTGGAGGTGATTTTTTTGTACAACATCCTTCTCTAATCTTCCTATGCAAGTACAATTGTACTTGCTCAGTGGCTATAAGCCTACTGACTAGCAAAATTTCAAGCCAACCTTTTTGCACATGTTGTCATCTGCTTTGATTGCATGACTTGATAAAGAATGGCTGTTTGATTAATTGCTAATTTTCCAACATTCTTTTCTCAGTTGGTGAATTTACCCACAAGGTGGCTTCTCTTAAAGAGCAGTTAGGAAACCAACTCCTTTCTCTTGTGGAATCTTTCCGCAAGAAAAACTTAGAAATGAAGAAAGACAGGTCTGTATTTCATAAGAATCCAATCAAAAAAAGCAAAAAACAACATGTTGACATTGAAAGCTCAACCCTTTACACCCTAACATCAGTATCAATATTCTCAATACTGCTCTCATACATATCCTGAGGTGATGACAAGGAGAATTTGTTTAACAATCAAGAGCTTCCCTAGTTAGTGATTATTTCCTTTATTCTCATGACCATAATGTGTCATTCTGGGGTGATATTGTAAGGAGAAATTAGATGCTGGTCACCCCTAGGGGTTAAAGGGTTAAGCAAGATGGATGGTTTTTCCAGTTTTAATATATCTGATAAATATCTGGCAATTGGTTTGTTTTCTATTGCATATCATTGATTTTTGTAAGTTTAGAACTGCATGATTTCCATGATTTTGGAAAAGGTTATCCTTTGCCTGTTCCAACAATAGAATCCTTGAAACTTTCTAAATAAAGCAGAAAACATTTTTTGATGACAACAAGTTTGAGTTTAATTGCTCTGCCTGATGGTAAGGAACTAGATCTAGATTAGGGAAACTTCGTTCTAAAAAGTGCATGCATGATGCAGACACACAGTCAAGTGTACATGCATGTATACAAAAAGCACTCTTTGTTTATGTGTAGTTCATCTTTGCATGTATTCAAAAAGTATCTGCATGCATGCAATCTGGAGCTGCATGCATGCAATCTGGAGCTGCATGCATGCATGGGTGAATTGCATTTCCAGACAGCATGAATGGCTTGAACTTAGGGGGAACAGGATGTGGGAGTTAAAACAAGTTTCAGTTTGAGTGAGTCATCTGTTATGCATCTAAATATTGTGGTCCAGTTTGATACACAGAATATGATGTTACATTTGACCATGTATTACTAAATATCTTTTTTTAAAATTTTTAATATCTCTCAGATCAGCTTTAAGCAGTGCTTTCAGCTGCTGGGAAACGCTGCTTGGGGAATATGAAAAACAAGCACAGGTTATTCCAATTTTTTTGCTTTAAAATAAGTCTTGAATTTTGTTGAAAAGATTCATAACTTAAAAGAATACCAGTCATATTTGCAATGAAAACCTTGTCAGGATTTTTTAATGCATGTCTTTTTGTAGTTTTATTCATAGTACATTAAAATTTACAATTTAGTGTTTCATATAAGATTAAGGTTAGTAAAGTCCTGAAAATAGTGACCCTCCAAAAGTTCCAGTTACCAAAGGAAACAGCAGAGTTATACTGTAGAAACTTTGTGGTACACATGTGAATGAAAGGTGAAAATCATTAAATAATTGTGGTTATGACATACACATTATGCACATGGAACCCAACCTAAGAGAATGACAGATTACCATACATGTCTTTATTTTCTCAGGATATGTTAAAGATATCATCCAATCTAGTGCGACAGGTGAATACTCCAGCATTTGAAGAGGTTATCAAGAAGAAAGCAGCCACCAAAAAGGTGTGTGATACCTATCTGTACATTATTTTACTGCATGAGCTACCTAGCTGGATCAAATACTCACGGGGAGAGCACTATCACAACTCTCTGAAGGAAGCTTTTCAAATGAAAAATTGATTAACCCTGAAACTCCCATGAATGGCCATAAGACTGAAAATCTCCTAACAATATCAATATGATATCAAGCAGACAAGCCAAAAAATGGAGATAAATATCAATTACGGGATTAGTCGTTGATCCATTGCCAAATTCTCTGAACAAATATGCTAAGAATAGTGTGTATAAATTGTAAGGAGAATTAATATTTAAACTAAATGATGACTTGAGATTGATAATTACAAAATGTTTTATTTGGGACTAATGGTAACTGTTGATGACTTATCCTTATTGTTTTTCAGATATTTTCCTTTAGAGATAATGGTGAAAGTCAGATTGAAAAGGCAGATGAAGCATTACAAAAGGTGATGAAAGATAACTAACAAATTTTTAAAAAGTGAGTGCTTATCTAGCACCAGGTAGTCTCATTTTGTGTAGAGTGGAGCAACAGAAGGATTTGACTTCCTCTTTACATTGATATTTGACTGATCGTCTAGCAATGCATTTAAATGGTTCTTAGGTATCATCAGAGTTTCAATTTTTAAGTTCTATAGTAGATCACAGAAGATGTGAACCATGTAAATCCCAGAAGTGCAAGATTAACATACAACTTCTCCCTTTCATATCCACACATTATTATGAAAACAGGTTAAGGGAATAATCACATTTAATAAGGTGGAAGTTGTTCTCTTGATCCATCACCAAATTCTTGCAACTAATTTGCAAGGAGATGTGTAGCAGCTAATGGGGAGAATCAACAAGGGTTACAAGTTAAAAGGTTAAATATATAGTTAGGTGAAAGACTAAAGGTGGTGGGGCACTTTTTTTTTTCTTGCTTCTTGTTATTAAAGTGTTCTGTGATCCTTTACCACTGAACATTCACTTGAAAGCAGGGAATCTTTTGGTCAAATAAAGCAATTTACCGCATCATCAAACCCTTACTTTTTTTCTTTACTTAGCGCCACAAGGAATATTCAGAAGCTTGTGCTAAACTTGCAAAGTTGCAAAGCGCAGGTGCAGAAGCTGCCAAGGTATTGCATTATCTTGTAGAGTTTTTCATTAAATTTTTTCTGCATGTATGGCGTGAATTGATAAGGAGTTTTGCAACCACATTTTGTTTTAGATTCCAGTTGTATTCTTTGTCAACTTTATCCCAGGAATCTATCACAATTTGTCTGACAGGGTAATTCGGTGCTATCAACTGAGCTGATAACATAAATTGGCCACTGTGAAGAGTCTCAATGCTGATGTGTTGAGTGTTCGCCCTTAATCAGAGTGAATGGTGAAGGGCTAATGCCTGAAACCAAATTACCCTGTCATACACTCCCACTGATGCAGCACCACAGTTTCTTTAGAAACTTACCCCCTTTATACAATTGTCTGACAGTTTTCTAGCTAAATAGATGTGCACTTCTGGGAAGAACCTTAGGACTAGCAGCAGTACATGTTTACATGTGTTGCTTGACACAACAGTGGGACATATGACTTATGCCCCATTCACACCAAAGCTTAAACATGTTTAAAAGTTGTTTTGTTAAACACAGTTTAATTTTTTTTTTCTTCATAGAAACTATTTAACCAAATATTTTTGACTTGAATGTAGCACATTGGAAATACAAGTTAGCTAGTACTTGAATCCAATGGAAAATCAAGTTTTTCAGTTCTCTGTTTATAATTTTCATTCAATGAAAACCAGTTTAACAAAACATGTTTTGCTGGTGTGAATGGGGTATTAGTTAAGACTGGTGACCCCTGATCAAAGAGAAACGGACTTGTAATGTGTAGGAAGGACAAAGCGCAAAACTTATGCAATAGCATCTACTAAAATTAGTACAAGGCTTCAACCAAAACCTGTTCCAGGTTTTCAGTCGAAAGAGATACGCAAAGGAACAGGCAACAAACAGCAATATGGTTGAGGTAACCTGGACCTCTTGATTTAGAGATCAGCATGCATAGCTTACACTAAACCCATTCATGGCCATTTTGCCCTCCTGTCCTTTCTTCTATAGGGATTAGACTAATTTTTTTATTATTATTTTTAAACTTAGAAAGTTTCTGAAAGATTTTTGTCAATTTGTAGCAAGAACATGTTCAGACATTGTGCCACAATACCCACAATGCCTATGTACTTCAGCTAAATTGTGTCAACAATATGAATGGAGTGTTCTATTCTACAACACTTCCTCAAATACTGGATGTAAGTATTGCTACATTATGAATGAAATTTGTTCAAAGTCAGTTGTTCAAAGTCAATTCAAAGTCAATATTTCAAAGTCAATATTTTAAAGTCAATATTTCAAAGTCCATAGTTCAAAGTCAGTATTTTAAAATCAATATTTCAAAGGGTCTGTTGGTGCATTAAGTCAAGTTGTGAGTTGTAAATGAAATTCCTAATTTTGTCAGTATATCATGAAGTCTCTTTTTTGCAGAGGATGTTAAGTAGTTGTTTTTTAATTAAACTCATTTTTACTCTCTCACCCTTTGTCCTATAGGACCTACAAGATGTTCATGAAGATGTTTCAGAATCCTTGAGGGTGGCTTTTAGTGATTGTTCAAAGATTGAGAAAGAAAATGTAATTTTAACATGTTTTGTTGACATAGTCATAACCATTTCCCCCCCTTTAATTAGCATGTGATGGATGACTTCATTAATATCTCTATATATTATTACCAATAAAATAGTTTAAATTAATTTTACTAGTATAGAAAGGTTAAGTTCAATTTTTTTTATAGCAGCAGCTCCTCGACCCTCTCCTACTCTCTTTCTGATAATGTATGAATTAATTTAAAGCTTTAACCTCCCCTTTCCTCCACCCTCCCCCCCCTCCCCCACCCAGGGCAACCTCTTGGGCATTCAACTTTTGAAGATTGGCTCACTCAAATTCCTGCCCCTCTCTGGGCCAAAATTGCATTTAAATGCCACAGCTAATAGTGAATGATTCTTTGTATGATCATCAAATTTTGTGGAATTTAGCAAAGTCATGTTCTAGTTTTTGTTGTTATTGTTGGTTCTGTTGCTTATAGGCATCATTCTATGATGTGAAAATTGTCTTTCTAAGCCATTCACTCAGAAGTGTTAAATTGATTGTTGCATGAGTTCCTTTAGTTATGTATAGGTCCATCTGTATGCAAGAAAAAGTCATAGAAAGTTTATCACTACTCACCTTTGTTAGAGCCTCTCTTATAATTATAAGCCTCTCTACATGTGAGACACCCTCCAAAAAATTTACTCTTATCAATGTATTTTGCATGTTCCCCCCTCCCCTCCCCTCCCCTTCCAAACTCACCTTACTTGTGACAGAGTTTAAGTATCAAGAGCTAAGTGGCTCACACTGCTCTCTTCTTTCCACCCCTTGCAGTAGTCAGGAGGGACTTGTTTTCTCTTCTACTTCGAGGGGCAAAAAGAAGAGAGGCCTTGGCAACAAGACTGATACTGCTAGAGCTCATCATGCTTTTTTCAGCATAGGGTACTGGGTCTGTTGCAGCTGCTCCTATTGGTCAAGCAGCCAGTTCATTGTAGAGTACCCCCCCAGCTTCCACTCAATTTTTTCGGTGTCACAGACAGTTTACTGGTATTCATTTATACACCATGAGAGTAAAGCATCTTGCCTAAAAGTTATGACACATTAGGGTTCGGGCCCAGACCCTTTGCTTTAGAGTGTGCCGTGCTGATAATTATATATATCTGATATGTCTTGATTGGTCATCATAGTAAAATCATTTTTGCAGAACATTCAGAAGAGTCTGAAAAAGAAGAGAGCACAGCAGTGTAATCAATCGTTGTGGAAAGCAGTGATGTAGAGTGGAAGTGAGATAAAAGTTTCTTTTTTAATTTATTCCTTTGCCAGATAGTTGATAGCGTGAAGAGATTGGAAAGCATACAAAGTATGTTTCAGCTCATGAATAGCAAGGCAGACATCTCCACATTTGTTCAGGCAAATGATCCTGGAGCTTACTCTTCACCAGAGAAAAATTTTCAGAAACCGGAAGATAATCAGCTATTGGTAAGTGCACACCTTAAAGAAGTTACATCAACCATAAGGTTTGAGTCTACATATATAGATAGCTGGTCTGTTCCCATTCCTGTCAACTGGCCTACGTTCTTTGTTTTGCATCTTACCCCGTTGCGTTGACTTAAATTTATTCAGCCTCAGTGGGGTGTTTTTAACATTTAAAATCCTTGACTCAAACAAGTCAGGGGGAGAACAGAAGGCCGCAAAATTTTGAAAATCACTTGAAACTTCGTCGCTGAGTTCCTCATAAAAGTATTGTATATACATCTGCCTCCTTCTCTTCTGCCGGAATAAAGTGATGTCCAGTCCAGTCAAAATTGTGGTAGCCAAGTGTATTCTCTCCTGACCCGTTTGAGTCAAGGTTTTTACTTTGTAAAAACACCTCACTTGGGCCAGTAAGTGTGAGGTTGATACAAAGGTGTCGTGTGAAAAATATATTTGAAGCGCAAAAACGGCATCGATATGAAAAATTGTTCAAATCGCCTGACCCTCTTTGATTCTCCTTACAGAATGTTACAGATAACAGACTTTTTTTGGTGGATGCAACGGAACCTGTGCTGAAGAGAAAGTATATCGCACTGCAAATAAAGGTGCAATCATTTGTTGACTTAATAAGGATGCAGTATTGACCGAGCGATAGGTCATTAAAAAGGGTAGGATATTAGGAAAGTTATTTTTTCTTTCTGTGGATTTATGGACCACCACCTGTTCCTAGTCCAAGAAACGCTTGTAAAGGACATCGCCAACTTTCAGAGATCATTATGGGCCATTTTCGATGTGTAAAAATTCTAACGTGGCTCCGAGGCAAGGGGGAATAATACGAGAGAAATTTTGTATTAATCCCTCAACCTTGATGTGATTTCCTTTGCTTTACTCCTCCACGCTTCGGAGCCAAGTTTGAATTTTTGATATGTCCAAAATGGCTTATTAGACTGAACATTTATGGCCAAAAGCATTTCACATTTGTGAGAGGAATGGGTGTATCTGAGCGGGGGAGATGGGCTCGCTAGTTTGGATAGCCAATCAGAGCACAGACCTCGCTTCCTTTTTGTCCGGTTGTAAGTGCCATCTATTTTGTAAGGTATATAATTGTTGACGTTTTGAGGAATTAGGGTTTGTGTTTTGGGGTACAGTCTAACCATTTCTTCAGGGGAAGGGAGCTTTTCTTGCCTTATGGATGGTCCAGACTCGTTAGGAAATTTAACATAGGATAGCGTATCATCTGAGGAAAGCGAAACTCGTTTGAAGATTGTATTCGGGGAGGACAGCTAAAGTGGTTGCTGAAGTGAGGGCGATCCTTACCGAAGTTGATCATTGACTTTCCAATCGTTAGTCAGCTTGTGTTACTCTTTGAAAAAAAAGAGTCGTGTTTACACCCGTTTTAGCCAGTTAGGAGTTTACGGGTCTCCACTTTTTAGCGCTGTCCAGCTGCGCTGTATCGATCGGCTGGTCAATACATATCTAATCGTGTGGAAAGCCATAGGCAAGGTTAAAATCTAATGCATCTAATTTTCATTTTTCATCCTTCAGTTACGAAACTACGATACAACGATAAAAAAGGATCAGGAGGCCGTGAAATCTATGAAAAAATTACGTGAAAGGTAACAGGAGTTTTAGGTATACTTTAGCAAGCTTATGAAATGTCCTTCTGTGAGAATGTTGATTTTGACAACCACGCAATAACTAGTGGAAAGAATTTAGTCCCTGAGTAACATGTTGAGATGCGGTCGGAAAACTGGGTCGAGTATATCAAGTCGAGGCTCATGTACACTTTTCACATCGAATGAATTTAACAATGGCACGAAAATTCTCTTGGGTGGTTCGGCTTTTCTTTTCATTTATTAATTTTTACATCAGAAAATAATTGTAGTTGTTCAATGGGACTTTGTCAAAACAGTAGTTGGATATGATGAGTGTTACTTTTCACGATATTTCTCACGGAAGGTTTGCTAATAGCCTCCAATTCTTTTGGATTCAGTTCAGACATATCGAGCTCATTTATACACTTTGCTATAACTAGACGTTGTGCTTACGTTAGCTCTTTATTTTGTGACAGGAAAAAAATTTATCCTGAGCTAGAAAACACTGGAGAAACTCACTCGCGTTCATTGAACTTGTTTGCTTGATTGATTCCCCATGGCACGATTTCATTATGCTATTGGTTGTTTTTAAATTTTATGAACAGCTACTCACAAAATCCATCCTATGGAAATGCGGCAGAACTTGAAGAGGATCTTTTAAGGCAAAAAAATGATCTCAGAGTGAAGGAATGGCTCTCCTGTGTTGCCGAGGAACAGGTAGGCCTGTTAATTGTAGGTCTGCAATAGCGTACATGTCAGAGGAGAGCGGGGACATCTTTCATATAAGATTTTCTGGTCAGTTTGTGCATAACCATGGAATCAGTCGTGAACTTGTAGACGTGTGAGAGTATTCTCCGCTCGCTTTTACCTCTTACCTCTTACCTATCCCCTCCAGCATTTCTCCAGGTTTTCCTTGAATATAGTTGGTTGAGAGTGAATAAAAGCAGAAAAGCAAAACCAAAGCAATATGGGATTGCTTTCGATACTCATTTGAAAATTGATTCATTGTTTGTGAACTGATGTGCAATTGATGCTGCAGCTTGGGAGCGATTCATTCCTGAACCTCGTATCCTTTCCTCACAGACCAAACTTTTCACATCAGACGTACTTAACAAACTTCAAGTTACCGAGGATGATCTCCAAGATGACGAGGAATCCATTAGCGAAGAGGAGAGTGTTTCAGGACCAGTGGACAAGCGGCAGAGTGTGATCAGCTCGAAAGGGAAAAAAATAAGGAAAGCTGGGCAGCATCAGTTTGAGGATCACACTTTCAAGAAACCGAAATTCTGTTTTTACTGCAAAAGTCTCATAAAGGGTAATTAAACTTTCCCTTTGTGTTGAATGAACTGTAGAAGACTTGCCCAGGGGACCAGTCTTTAGTACCACCCGTGGGGGGGGGGGTGGGGGGAGGATATTTGGGGGGATCGCATGGTTTTCAGGGGAAATAGAGTGGGGGGGGGTAGGGTTTGAAGGATTTTGGGGAGATCACATGGTTTTCAGGTGGGACAGAAGGGGATCAGTCGTCTCTAACAACGGGTAAAAGGGTGACTATAGAAAGTTGACTGCCAATTGAGGTGGATCATTAGAATACTACCGAGCGTTATGGGGGAATCAACTAAATTTTATTGCGACACAAGCAGTTTCATGGAAAGCACGTTAGACTCAGTATTGGTAGAGGCTTGAGTTTTTGTCGTAGCTGGGGTCACTGTGCTGTGTTCTTATGTAAGATTCTCAACTCACACAGGGCCTCCCTTTACCCAGGAATATGAACGGGGAACACGAAACTGTCAGCTCAGGCGAATCTTAAAAAAAAAAAAACTTGCGGGGCTACCAGCTTTGGACTAGCATAAACCATGTAGCGGGAGGGTCGGTGAGGTCTATTCTGTTTAGTTATTTCTTGCTAAGAATAGGGATTGACACTTTTGTGAACCTGCTGAGGTGGACTGTGGTACAATACAAAAATGGCCTGTTCAGAGATAACGTGTTGAATCATCGTCTGTGAGGGGCTTGATATTGGAGTTACAGTTGAGTTAACGTAACCTTTGTCCCTTTACTATCGTAGTTTTTGATATGTAATCCTTGATGGAGAGGTATCCTTTTGTTGCCAGGATTGATTAAGCAGGGTGCACGATGTAAAGTTTGTAAGATGAGTGTCCACCACAAGTGTCGCGACAATGTGCCTTACTGTCCGGGTGACAGGGTGAGTGTCATGTCTACGTTTCTTATAAAGAACATTTATCATGGGAGGTCTTAACTCTTTAACTTCCAAGATCTTATAGTTAATTCTCTTCTTTGGCAGCTACACATTTCCTTGTAAATTAGTTACGAGAATTTGGTGTCATATTATGAAAACAACATCTACCTGATAAGTTTGAGTATCCTCATTACTGCTTTGCTGGATAATGGATGGATATTAGAAAGAGAAGTTAGATTCCAATCACTTCTGGGAGTTAAAGGGTTAAACATCACTCATCAGCCTATTAGTAGTTTTCCCAACCTGGTGAGGCTTACGCGCTTTTGTCATTAATCACAGGGGAGAAACTCGGTTTGTTACTTTCTGCGCGGACGTCGAACTGGACAAATGGTCCTGCTTTTCTTTACGCTGTGAGCTGCAAGCAATGATTTACTGTAACTTGGTTTTTTTTTTTTTGGTATCTGTTGCAGTCTAGCAAAGGACAGTCGATGCGCATTTCACGCAATCAACAGGAAGATGATTCAGATGATCCCGTGTACAGTGATGTGGATGACGTCCCCACCCCTCCCCCACACAGGAGAGCATTGGGTCCAACTTCATCATTACCTGCTTACAGGGGAGACGACTTCTACGGTACAAAATGCATCGTTTAACTGGATTTCTGTTGACGTGTAATTGTTTTTTGACCCAGAGACGTTTTGTTTTGTATTACATGAAAGTTTTTTGTGATTTTTGTGTTTACTTATGAAGGCGGTTAAATTGGTGGAAGCATCCTACAGTACAAGCGTCTTATTAGGACGTGTTACAAGGTTGCGATCGTTTATTCGACCGGCTATGTTTGATTTAGAGTTAGAGCGGAGGTGGAGGGGGAGGGGGGAGGGGGGAGGGAGCAGGCCCCTCGCCTCCCTTCTCCTACCTTTTAACCGTCGCTCACCCCCTTAGTACACATTTCTTTCTCTCCCCAGCCTTTCGCTGTCGTAAAAATCTAAAATGGTAGCTGCAATTTTCACCAAAAAAACTGAGCTCTCGCTTGCCAAAATTACGTCTGGTCTGCAGGCTACGATCTAAGCGATAACTCGAGGCGCAGCGACTTGATTTTAATTAAGTACACACAGCACGGTTTGTCGTTAAGACCTGGGCAGCCAGTTATCGCCTTGTGGGTCCTAAGAATTAGTCGTTACCAGACGATAACAGAACCACCAGGAGGCATCAGCTATATTTGGTATGCGCGCCTAAATGTGTGGGAGGTGGCGATCCAGGGTTGGTGTTGCTGTGCACGTGTTTTGATCCGGGAGAGGAATGGGTTGAGCTGGTATGAAATGGAAAGGATCTTTGTCGTATTGATATAAAGTACGGAGCGAGAATTTTGGTCTCACCGAGGTAGTCTCAGTTGTTAAGGGGAAAAATTCAATAATTTTGCCCGTTGAGGTCTTTTTAAGTTTGTAGGCGGAAATAAATTCATCGTTAGCTCTTCCACAAAATTTTTAGATACCTGATTCGGGAATTTTCTCGAATTCTTGTTTTCAGATGACGTGGAGGGGATGATTTCTCCATCGAGATCGGTGAGATTTTTGTTTTTCTTCGTTTTACAACAAACTGATGTTGTTTGGTTGAAGACTGTGGGATTAAGATGTGATAATAAGTCTATTATGACTTCGAGCATTCTCTCACCGTAAGATGAGGTGGAAGTTGTAGTTTCCAATTTATTTAGTTAGTTTTTTCAATGTTATTTTCAGAAGTGCTGTGTTGCTCTTTACGATTTCGACGGGGAGAATGATGGAGATCTGAAATTAAGGTGAGAATATGGGTTTCCTCATTGGGTAAGATTTCCGCACAGTCCCACACTTCATAATGCATACAAATCTTGCATAAAGAAAAATAATGGCCAAAAACAACAGATTGCTTTCGAAATGGGGCTTTGTTTTACAATAGTGTAGGGCTATGCAGCAATCTACCCACTTATTGCAAAGGCTTCAGTCTAAAAGTACCATGCATTTGCCAGCGATTTCAGCTTGAACCCTCTGAAATTTGACTCGCTCTCAGCGTGTGGCTTCGTTGCTCAGTTGTTAGAGGCGCCCAACAATTATCTGGGAGGCCTGGTTTTTTTTTTTTTTGCAATGGCTAAAAATTGCAGTCCACCTGTGAGGATTGTTTCTTTTCTTAAATATTGTTCTGCGATTAATCTACACCTCGTTTCCTTGTTGCAGTGCCGGTGATAAAGTTCAAGTCATAAACAGTGCTGATGAAAACTGGTGGGAAGTAAGTAACGTTTGTTTACGGTTCTCGATTGCCTAACTTCTAAAATACGGAAAGTTTGGAAACACTCAAGGGACTAGACTCTTAGCTACCGTTTGAGAAGGGATATTTAGCTTGCACAGCTGGTGATCTTGTGAGATTAGATTGAAGGCGGAAACACGAAAATCAGCTGCAAACTGAGCAGCGCGGAAGGTCGTCATTTTTAAAATGTTACGAAAGATGGTATGTTTTGAACTTACTTGTCGAGGAAATAAAGATGTTATTCGTTATTTCAGGAGTGTAGGACAAGGACAAAAAAGCTGTGACCCTCAAGACGAATCGACTTTCGGTTCTGATGCGTTAGCTAGTGAGCAGGCGTGATTTTTTGGCGTTCGCCCTTGGCACTCTCACAGAGTTTGCCTCCACTCTCTTGAAAAACGCAGAAAAAATTACGCCTGTTCAGCCTTACGTGAAACCGAGGAGTCACTGGGCAATCTGTAAAGCATGAACAATGAACTGCTTTTTTTTGATGCCTCAAAATGTTGCATCGCTTTAACAATTTTTTTTGTTATTACTAGGGCAAAAGTAAAGGAAAAACAGGGTTCTTCCCTGCTTCATACGTACAGGTAGAATTAATAATTATTCCATAATCGCGCATTGGATATGAGATGGCAAATAACCAACGAGGCGCGTAGCGCTAAGTTGGTTTTAACCAATTTCTTATCCAACGAGCGAATGGAAAAATTGTTTTATTAAATTTCATTAAATACTAAACGTTTGAATACTTTCAGCAAAAATTTTTCAGCTTGAGCACGTCGCAATGCATTTCTAGATAAGGTGACTTGAAGTATTAGCTGATAACCGGCGGAGTTGGCGGAACCAATCAGAGCACTAGAAATGCAATATTCGGAGTTGAAAATATAGCAAAGTCATAAATACCGAGTATATACGCTCAATCCAATGCGTTAATTTGGTTATTAATTAAGTGGACATTATTGCATTTTGTTTCAATAGCTACCGTGTTTTCTCAATCAGACGCCCCCGGCGCATTTATAAGGCTGGCGTGTAGTCTCATCTCTCATCAATCGTTGTTTTCTAGTCCTCTTCAAAGCTGTAATGTGTCCTGCTGTTGCGTAAACTTGTTTCGGAATCTCTCTATGGTAATTTTTTTTTTTTAAATTCTCATCGGAGACGTCAAGTGTGTCGCCTGAAGTGAGGAAAGTACTCGTTTGGACTGTGCAATTTTCGAGCCACTTTTTTTTAATTTTTAGTGTTTTGTTTTAAACATAACGCATGTTATTGTGTTTCATTTCAATAGCTAACTTGTTTTCTCGATTTAACGTCTCCAGCTTAGTTATATTGCTGGCGTGTAATCTCATCTCTTATCAATCTTTGTTGTCTAGTCTTCTTTGTAGCTGTCATGTGTCCTACTGTTAGCATAATTGTTTTGAAATCTCTCTTTGGTAATTTTTTTTTACATTTCAAGGCCTAACGGATTTTCTTGGCTCTGACTTCATTGTAGGTAATTTCTGCTACTGATGTCATTCTTCGATGCCTGTTTAATTTCACTGGTCAAGAAGGAGACGAGTTGACAATTCAGGCAAATCAGGTCAGCGGTGTTCTGTATATTTTAGCGTGCACTCGTCAATCGAGATGAACAAGGGCATGGAGGCCGCGGTTATTGTCAATGGTCTCTGAACAAGTGCGCATCTACCCCATCCCTAACCCAATACCAGTCAACCGAGAACAAGTTAGGGTTATCTGCAATCGCTCTGACGAAGGGCTAACGCTTTAAACGTCAGATTTATAACTCTATACGGAGGCCATTTAACGATATCAACTCAGTTGATAATACTAAATTACCTTGTTATACTCTCCCAGCGATGCAGCACTACAGTTTCTTTAGAAACTTAACCCTCTTTTTTCATTCGGGTTGATATTAGGTTAGGGAAGGGGTAGGTGCACAGTTTGCTCAGATACCGACATTTATCTGAGGTCACCTACCTTTGGCCTTTGAGTACCAAATATTTCTTTTTGAAGTGCGTGTTTTAAAGACCTTATACGCAGTTCCATGAATCTATTTTCTTTAGAAAAGTTTAGTAGTCACAGAGATGTCTTTAAGCCTCCAAACACTGGCTCCCTAGTGGTTGTTTACAATTCGGAAACAACCTTTTCGAGTCTGGTCCGTTTTGCGACCTTTACTGAAACGTTCCCTTAGCTAAAAACAAAGCTAAAAACAAACGGACATCTTGTACTCAAAGAGAATACTCGGTTTAAGAAAGAAGTTGTTTTGGGACTTTCCCGATGGTAGCAGTCGATAGGTTGTTCGTTTGTAATTTCAATTAACTAAAGTTGGACTTTTTTCTGATTGAATTATTTTTCTTATCACAGATAGTTGTTCAGATCAGAGACGAAGGCAATGGATGGATCTTTGGGAGAACTGGCTCGGTAGAAGGGGCCTTTCCAGCGACATACGTTGAAAAAGTTACTAATAATGGTCCTGATTAGTGTTTATCTGCGTTAGAACGGACCTAGCCGTGTTAGCAGAAAACTTTGTCTCAGTATCCTCTTCCTCCCTCTCTCGAGTTCAGAAGAAAGAACTCTGGGTACTTGGTTGGTTTCAAATGGTAAATATGTGGTACAAGCGACAAGCAGTGGTCTTGTAATTCATTTTGTCGCCATAGAGTGAATTGTCATGTCTCCATCTTAATTACTGGATGTGGAATGAAACTTGGATCCTCAGAATGGTCCAAAATAATAGCTCATAAACAGAGAAATTAAAAGGTTAAATGAAAAAGAGAAGAAGAATTGCTAGTAGGGAAGGGTTAAATTCCCAAGAAACCCTCCTCTCTCAGAGTCTTTTTCTCGGGGACTTACTTAAGTAAGGTATTAGTTACAATTTCCAAACTTTTAACGGAGTCCATGTTTGAAATAATATTATCAAGGTACTGAAGTGACAACTTGCCGCGCTTTTTGTACTGTCGAGTGGTGTATATATATATATACTTTTAACGGAGTATATATATATATATATATTTAGGAACAATTTCCATTTTATTTCATTCCTTTTGAAATCTCTGGCGGTCGTTTCAATCTGATTGGCCCTCAGCAGTGTGCTTTACTCACGAATCGCACTTTTTCCCCCTAAATCGCATCTTCTTCCCAGTCAGTGAGGATGCAACAACAAAACAAAACAACCAATTAGATTTCCAGGCGTGTTAACAGTAACAAAGCAAATCGTAGGAAACTTAAAGGCAAAGAAACCAGTATGTGGCCAATTTTGCAACTTTTAAAATACTTGTACTGGTTAAAATCCTCTAACTGGGCGATTGAATTTTGTGATTTCAAAATGGATGTTATACAGTGGTAATTGAACTAAGTGAAATTTTGGTCTGATTTCGAAACAAACTTGCGCTGCGCGCTCGTTCGAGTGGGAAATCACGCGTATGACTTGAGCTTGCTTAGTTCAATTATTATTTTATATTATTTTTCCTGAACCACTTGAGAATTTTAACGCAAACGCTTTGCAATGCTACGAGATGAACAGCGGTTAAGGACAATGCTTCCAACCTAAGTGTCTAAGTGCCCAAAATCGCAATAATTGAATATTGGCACAAACCAGACGTAAAATTTGAGTGGTTTGACCAATTGGGACCATAAATTTATTTTAATGGTGTACATTGTGGGAAATTCTTCTCAGTTGTAGGGTCCAATGAGATGAATTAATTGAATATATTTATATTTTACTGTTATGAAATAAAATGTTTTCGGTAATCACTCAGGTTAAAGTTTCGTCTTTCGTTGGAGTATCAGGGTTTCTTTGGTTCCTTGATAAGGTGGGTTTAAATTGAGTTCCAATGAGAATACCCCGGTGCTCTGTAGCCGGCGAGTTGGCCTTCGTTATTAATAGCATTTCTGCACGAGTGTTTCGTCGCCCGCGGAAAAGTACCAGGCCTTGAGCAACCGAATCAGCAAGAGGTCTGCAAGAGGTCTAGCACTTTGTACCAGACCCCCGGTAAACCTTGGCCTACCTAACCCAGTGGGGGCATTGAAGATGAAAGGGAGGTTCTTAAGAAATCTTTGAAGTTCCAAAGCCCTTCACACAACTCTTAGCCAAAGAATGCATTCCTTTCGGAGGGAAAATTCACCCTATAACCCTGACCAGTACACATATTCTCCATATTTTTTCTACATTTTCAGTGGAACTGAGAAGGAGAATTTGTTCAACACTTGAGAGTGACTCAAGTTGGAGATAATTTCCTTCGTACTTTTGTCACTAATATTTGATTCAGCTGTCACTCTAAAGGGTTAACCCTTTCACTCCCACAAATGACCAAGACAGAATTTCTCCTTACCATATCAATACAATATCAAGCAAGTAGGTGATGAGGACAGAGAAGAATATAAATTATGGGTTTCTTAGTTGATCCAGTACCAAATTCTCTGAACTAACATAATAAGAACTGTAAGGCAGATAGTAAGGAGAACTACTAATTAGATCTTGGGAGTGAAAGGCTTAAAGGGTTTAGAGGGAGGCCCCAGGAACTTCTCACTTTAAGAATTCAACAATTGCAGAAAAGTGATTCAAAAGTAAAACAATTGATCACTAATATATGGTTTCACCTTTAATTCATCATCTTTTAAATTCATTATTTATAATCACAATCAAGCATCAAATCACTTCAGTCTTCTTGTACAACCCCAACATCCTGCAGTTCATCTTTCCGTTACGCGATGCTTATGAACATGTATCTCACATTGTAAGTAAAAAAAAGTACAAAAAGCAACTAATTCCAAATTAAATCAGTGTAAGCCTAAAACAATCACCGCTCACATCTTTATGTAATGTTTTCACGCTTTGTAAACTTGATTTACTAAAAGTCTACGCTATGCACATGTCTAAATATCATATCAAAGGTTTCTCAAACATTTTTTTTAAGTCATAGGATATTAACTAACGAATATTACTTCATAAACTTTAACCTATTGTTACCACAAAAAGTAGTTTACTCTTGCACCAAGAGTGAAATTACAAATTTCACCTCTCCTTGGTCTGAAAAAGAAAAAAAAACCAAAATAAACATTAAAAAAGTCTACATAAGGTCAAGTCCATATTTGAGCCTAGTTGGGCTAGTTATAAATTCAAATGCCCCCCTCCAAACCCTAACCCCAACTGCCCCCCCCCCCCCCCCCCCAGATACATCATCATCAAAAGTTATCAGTGCTAAAAACATTTGTCCCATGGTGTGATACTCTTTTTACTTGTAACTGTTCTCCCAGATTGGTATGGTAACTTGAGTGTTGCAACTTTTTTTTAATGTCAGGCCAAAATGGTCTTAAATTAGTTGTAAACTATAAAAAAGGGGGAAGTTTCTAAAGAAACTGTGGTGCTTTATTGGTGAGGGGAATAACAAGATAATTTAGTTTTATCAACTGAGTTGATAGTGTAAATTGGCTACTGCAAAGAGTTTCAAAGCTGATGTTTCGAGTGTCAACTCAACATCACAGTAAATGTCCAAAGGCCAACACTCAAAACATCCGCTTTTGGAACTCCATGCAGTGGCCAATTTACATTATCCACTCAATGGATAAAACTAAATTATTTGGCGTTACCCATCTTTGGAAGAGGGAGAGTGTAGTGAAAATATATGGTGATGATGCTTATAAATGTAAATTAACATTTTTCACAAGAAGGCAACAACCTGCCAGTGCTCTACTCCTTCCATCCCAATTCCCCTACCTTAAGAATGCAGCTGGCACATTTACAAATTATTTCACAAGTTAGCTCAATCTTACCTCTTGTTACTTTTAGTTTTGAGGTCTTACATTAAGTGCATTGCCATGGCTTCAACCACTTCAAAGTAGCTCTGTTGCAGCTCTTCAGACTCCTGCAAGGCCTTCTCTCGATTAGAGACAACCACCTCAATCTGGGCATTGTTTTTCAGGCACACTGTGATCACATAAGGAAGGCTAAGAATGAGAAAATAGAGCTTTAGCCTTGGAAGAATTATTACATTTGATGGCTAATACAGCAGCTAGGTATAAAATTTACTTAATTATTAACTGGGTTCCTGACACCTTAAAGACTTCCAAAAGCTTCCCTGGATAGCCCTCATCAAGTAAGCAGACACAAGTACTTTCAAGAAGTTGCATAGGAAACACCTTCACACACAATTTAACCTTTTTACTCCTGATACCTTGTTAGTAATTCTCCTTACTTTCCACCACACAATTCTTATGATAGTAGTTTGGAGAATTTGGTATTGGATCAGCTAATAATCCCCTAATTAATATTTTACTTAATCCTTCTCACATGTATGCTTTAGATTGTATTGATATTGTAGTTGACATAATTGATGTAAAAAAAAAGTACATTCAATGTTGCATGCTTCTGTACACTAAAAGACAGTAGAAAACATCCAGATGTGCTAAGAACATCAGTGACTCAATTCAGCTTCCCCTTGTGTGCCCAATTTGTTGTTCTCTCCCTGTTTTCATTTTCATATCATCTGTGATCTACTGAATTATATATATATATATATATATATATATATATATAGGAAGTCTGTGTGTATTGATATGTAGGAGTAGGGCACGATATATGTTGTGACAGGGGTTAAAAAAAAAAAAAAAAAAAAAGAGACTATACTTATACTTTCATTCCTACAAGCCTGTTTTGTGATTGCCTACTCATCAAGGGATTTTATGGTAAGAATAATTGTACCATCATTTATATACTTTATAAATTTGCTTAAAAATAATACTTCAATTGATAATTATCTTTTCCCCCTTATCCCTTGCATGCACACAGACCAGACCAAATGGCTAATAAATACAAGTAATTATCACATGGCAAGGTAGTCAAAAATCTAAGAGGTTTGATTGGCCAATATTGGTTGGAAGTACTCTTATATCTTAAGGGTGGAACATAAAAAAAAACCCATCTGAATAACAAGTTTTAATGGAGTCAAGCCTCTGTTCACCCTATATACAGTGTACCTCATGAGATGGGTAGCAGCAGTGATAGACAGCTTGCCTTCCTTATCACAGTACTTGTTGTAAAAGTCTTCCTCCTGCTGGTTTTTAGGTGGGGCTCTTTTCAATATGTCTTTGTTTCTGGCAATCTGTGTAACCCAATAGTTACTCAGAGCTTGGAGAGCCTGTGATTCATCACTGCTGACTTCATCTGCCAAAAAAAAGTGTGAGCTTTTCAGCCTTCAACTCCCAAAATCTTATCTGATCAGACATTCTCCCTACTAAATTCTGTGAATTCCAGTGTAAATTAGACAGAGGAATTTGGTGTTCCATCAAACTGACACCCTCAAGCTGATAATCATGTCTTTTGTCATCACCTATTTGAAGGATACCTTGCTAAGATCCTGGGGAGAAGTTGAATGTGGATCAGTTATGAAAATTAAAAGATTAATACAAAAGCAAATGAACTTTCTCTCTCTTTAATGGTAGATTTCCATGAGTTATGGTAAATAAAAAGAGGAAAAATATGTCATTTAGAGGGTTTACAAAGGATTCACTGGGTAGACACATCAAAGGTATACATATTGTAAGGGACACCTTCTCTGTTGAAGATGGTATGTTAATGAGACTTAACTTAAAGGTTACAACATCCTTTACAAAAGCAGCTCACTAACACAATGACAAATGGATTGCACCTTTGCAGTACACACATTATCACTTATATCAATCACTCTGGACTAACCTCCCAAAAAGTCAAACAAATACATGTTTTTCTTGGGTTTATCTGTGTAACAAAGATATTTTGTAGGTCAATGAAGTTATTAAAAAAAGTCTTAAAAAATGACATATCTGTGCACTAATAATGAAGCCATATCATTCATCTCCTGACCACAGTGCTTTCAATCAGTGATAGTTATACTAGGTAATTACAATTTTAATACCACAAACAGGGATATAAAATTATTTAATACCTTTTTTTGTGTTTAAAATGTTCATCTTATTTTCAATTGACGTCACTAGTTGCTTATCTGAGGGTAAAGAAATAAATAAATTGAATAAGTATAGGTAATCACATGAGGCCAAGTACTATTAAGGATTAATTGCACAAGAGTTTTCAAAATTTTCCAAAATTTTGAAAACTCAAGTGCAATAATTATTAATCCTTAATAGTACGAGGTCTCATGGGATTACTTGTTTATCAATAAAGGGCAAAATTTATACGAAGGAAAATCACGCGCGCAGTCTATTTTTATCTGGGAAGCAACGGATTAGCAATGCAACGGATTAGCCAATCATTAACAGGTAATCATGCCCTCTCTTGATTACTAAAAATGCCCTCGATTAAGAAAAAAATGCCCTCTCTCTCAACCAATCAGCGCTCAGTAATTTTGCCCTTTATTGATAAGACTGTGTTATCAGCAACCCACAAGGTTCTGAAAATATTTTGACTTCAAAATTATCAGTAACCCTTTAACCCTAGAAATGACTAGCATCTAATTTCCAGCATGAGATTAAAGGAAATGATCACCAATTTATAGAAAGAAGAGAACAGTACATGGTGAATAAAAATACAAGTGTTAGGCTGTAAAGGGGTAAATTACCATTTTTTTACACATCTTAGTAATAAAGAATAAAACACACCAGAGCAGGACTTCTCTGTCTTCAGTATATTCTCAGCTTGCTCTTCCTGTTGCTTTGAATTCAGTGGTTCTGCATCACCGTCCTTAAGAGACGATGGCTGAACCTCAACCTGTGAAGAGATATCACAAGTAAAGATCACTTTTTTCCTATTGCCAATGCTGTGGCCTAAAATTTGGCATTCCCAACTCCAAGTCAAAAAATCTAAATTCACTACCTGGCAGGGTCATTGTGTTGTGTTTATGCTCAAGATACTTCATAAGAATTTGGAGTAACATGTAGTTCAGTTACTTCTACCTGATAAGTATGAGTATTCTTGTGACCTGTTTACTTTATAATGTTAATCATATCTGGGAGTTACAGGGTGGCTGTAAATTCTAAACATACACCTCCAGCAAAGTGATGACACTGCTTTGAACTGCTACGTGTAATTACAGAACTATTGCTGGCCAGTATGCCTTGTATCAAGTTGACACCAACTGTTATTTGGTCAAGCATGATGACAATAATATCAAATACCACTCTTACACAATTACCTTACTTGTAGCTGCTTGCATATTACCATGATCTTTTCCGAAGCTGGAGCTCTTCTCAGAAGATTCACCCATGACAACCTTTTCATCAGAGTCAGATGTACAGGGACTGGTTCTTTCCCTGAACTTCTTCCCTTTTGGGGAACTCTTTGGTCTTGAAAATGCAGCCTTCAATTCCTCCTCATCATTACTACTACTGCTGGAGCCATCTGCATCCTTCTGCTTACAAAAAAAATGCAAAAACATTGATCAAAACAATTGATATCAAAGACCATCAAGTAAACTCTAAAACTTGATTGATTATGATATTACCAATTCACCATTTTTGGCTGTATTTGCAGGAACAGTTTCCAATATCTGCCTGTGTGAGTTTTACAGCTGTTAATAGTTAACTACTATGGCTAATCCAGCAACAACTTAAGGGTTAGTTTCTTATTTACAAGTACAGGCATGACTGTTGGTCCCCAGTTTTTAGTGCTTATATTAACGTGCCTTACAATTCTTTACCAGTTATAATTAAATATAACATATGAATGTTGTAGAATTTAAATTAAATATCACCTGTGGACTGCGTTTTCTTTTGACAAAATCACCCTTTTGCATGGCCATTGATATCTATGAGAAAACAAAAAGCATATTAAGCTTATTATTATTTAAGTCTCAAGATCTACAGGAAAACAGATGTCTTCTGAAATTACCCTTGGGAAGGTGCAATTGGCTGGTCTATGATGTCACATTCAAAACATTAATAAAATAATAGCAACTGACTACACTTCAATTAATTGTTATTGAAGTTTAAGCTGATTTATTTCAATATGAGGGAAAATTTCCAGCAAAATTTGTCTCATACACTATGCCTAGTTTCCTTTTTATAGGAATAATTCACACTAATAATTCATATTCAATAAAATATTCATATTACCTTAATATTATAGGAATAATTTATATTACACACTGGGAAATATTGATTTTCACTCAAGTTGTAGAAGGAATCATCATCAGAGGCACTGCCCCATGCGATTCAGTGAAAATCAAAGTGGAGAAAACAGAACCGGAGTAACCACACGGTTTATTGTCTGTATGGAGTCATAGCTATCAAATGGCCTGAGAATTGGCACTATGATTGGTTAGTTTTTTCTTCCTCCATGGATAGCAAGGCTCAGATTTGTTACAAAAAACCCTGTTTTGATTCCTCTAACCATAATCAGTTTTTAGGACAGTAAGAAGACTTTCTTACTGGATGGTTATAATTCTTTGAGAGATTTCAGCCACTTCTCGGGGTATCTCGAGTCTTACCTCACCTCAACACCAACGTTTGATCAACATTTCTCGTTCTCTGATGGCTACCTACCCAATTTCTCTGCCTTTTTATTACAACACTAATGCAATAATCAATAATGGCGGATGGAAATGCTTTTCTGAGTATGTTCGCGGGGTTTCTAGTGACAAATCCATTTTCAGTAATAGTGCGCATCGCTTCGTTTGAATGAACTACGTACACCTGAGATGGTTCGATTTCAAGATGCCGACAGTGGTGATCGATTTAAGAAAGATTACCGACCACAAATGAAGACACTGGTAAACAAGAATGAGCATACTAAGATTTGAATGAGTAATATGACACGACCGCTAACTTTTAACCTCTTCGTAAAAACACCCGGGGTACTAATGACGCCATAGTAGAGTACAAGCAATCGTCTTGTGTTTGTCTCCTTATGTGCTAAGATCACGGTTTTCTCTGATACTCACGCCTAAAGGAGCATATGGGCAGTTTTTTTTTAGACCAAATCTATGGCTAGCGCTGAGTCTCGTTCCTTCTGAATTTATAAGCTTAGAAAAGAGGAATTTTTAAGGGGATCTTTGCCGCTTTCGTTAAGTATTGGCTCACTCGTTCTGTGAAAATAACCACTCCGAAAGCTTGTCCAAACCACGCCGTACGGTACACTGTATTCGAACAAAGAAGCGTTGGGATCGATAGTTTCAGCAGGAACAGTCTGTGTTTCTCGCCATCGGTTGATGACGGCGAACTAAACATTTACAGCCACAAGAAAAACATAATTCAGGGATGTGCGCAACATGAGACAGCTTACCTCAACTGTGCGTGCTGGCATTCAGTGCAGGAAAGAGGGGAAGTCTCTCTAAATTGAGGACTTGCGACTCAAAACTCTTTAAAAATCTTCTCCACTTATGATGAAAACAACCGTTCATACGATTTTCCGCTAAAGAAGGGGAATTCACGGTACATAGCTGGTTTTAGGCTAAATCACAAACTCCTTTCAAACCAGCTGTGGACTATCCCAGGGTCCCATTGGAGGGAGGACGAGATGAAAATGACGTCACGAGACTGACTGTCTTTGATTGGAGCGCGAAAACTTTACCTTTATCTGTTTACCGAGAAAAACATGTCTGTGATCAAGCACCCAGCTGGTCAAGTTCAGACGATCTTCTGAACCAACTGAATGGGAGCCGGTAAGGATGACAAGTTGTCGCTTCATATTTGCCGCTTTATAATTGTCGCCTCAAATTCCTGGAATGATTTAAAAAAATTTTAAAATGGAAATATGACCAAAAAGAGTCTAATTGGTTCTGGAATCATACGAGTAATTGAAATGGTTATGATTAATTGGTAACGGGACTTGGTGTCGTCCAATTCTGTCTGTAATCATACTCGTGATTCGGCTTTGCGGTCGTCCAATTTTTGTTAATTACTCGTATAATTACAGACCGAATTGGACTCCACTCGGGTCCTATTACCATTACTGATCTGTCCGATTACGGGTATCCGATTACAGCCAACTCCACAGAATAATTAGTAAAAAAATAAAGCAGCTAATGCACCAATCGCATTTGAGTAAATTGAAATGGTTATGATTACCCTTGAAAATAATTCGTTACGCATATATTAAAGAAGGGCGAGGCTTAAATGTTCCCTTAATTCGTGTCGCGTGAAATACTGTTTAAAGTAAACGCAAAGCGTGAATTTTCTTAGGTCGTGTGGGAAACGAAATCGAAATTGCCCATTTGTTATTCCTTGGGAATAACAGCAATAGAGGTTGGTTTTCACTTAAGTTGCAGCATGAGTCACAATTATTATCAGAAGTACAGAGCAATACATTTCAGTGAAAATCGAACTGACGCATTTAGTAGCGGAATTCTCCTGTCGCCTCTCATGCGTCACTTTTCAGCGGTGATCGTAACTCTGAGGGTCATAAAACCCCATTATGATTCCATTACTTCTAATTCTGTTGAACTAATGACTTCGATCATGAAGGACCTCAATTCTTTAATTTCACTGAAGGGGGGTGTTCTTACACCTTCGACTACGACTCAGAAAGGACTTACTCCACTTGTCCACAGGCCCAATGTGCCCCTTCCTTAAATTTTTAGGGGAAATCTTTGTCAAAAAGGGGGCCCCGGGGTAGGAGTATCCAGAAAGGTGTTTGAACTTATTTTGTAAAGTCTAATCAGCGAGGAAACGAAGAGGGAAAAGCAGTATTGAGACAGTAAGAGGCTATAACGTTTGAATAAGTTTTATATGATAGTAATCGTATGAATCTTTTTGCCCTTTATGCTTGCAAATACTTTCTTTCAAAACAAATATAGAACCTTAATTAAATTAGTACATATTCTAGAGCGCTTAAACGCACTTGGACGTAAATTTTATGTCACATTTTTTTTTTGACATACGGAAATCCTGCGGTAACGCCACGCTCTTCAATAAACCTTGCAAGCGTCAACTCCATCGCCATCGCTTGCACAAACCCAGCCTTTAAAAATTATGCATGACCAGATCAAATAAATACAAGTGGATTCCCAGCTTTGGAATAGTCCTGGCCTTCAGTTTAAGTCACAATGTGGCTCGCCTTATTTTAGCAGAGTAACCTTTCTTTGAATAAAATTCCGATCATTTCCTGAATATTTTACTTTGATGTTTAACTTCGTATAGTGAGATTGTATGATTCAAAATACCTGCAGTGACCAGTGGTGATCGATTCAATAAAGAATACCGACCATAAAGGAAGACACAAAATAACTAGTAAACGAGAATAAGCAAAGTGAGATCTGAAAGAGTTATATTTATATGGCACGACTGATAACTTTGAACACCTTCGGAGGAACATCTGATGTGGTTTGATGATAACGCCAAAATGGAGTTGCAATCGTTTTGCATCGCCATCCTTGTTCGCAAGAGAAAAAGCTCAAGGTTTCAAGAAATACTCAGGGTCTAAAGCTAAAACTAAAAAAGCATACAGGAAGTTGTTGTTTCGACCGTATCGACGGACAGCGCTATCAGGACTTTGCCGCTTTCGCAGATATTCTATCTATTCATAAAAAAAAAATACATCGCGCGGTACATTACTATCGATTAGAGAGAGTCGACGATCGAGATCGATCGACAGTTTTAACAGGAAGGGGGTTACTGCGAACTAATACGATGTCGGTCGCGTCAAATGATACAGCTCACCTTTGCTATTTTCACTTAGTTTCACTTTACGATGGAGAAGAAGCCTCTCTCAGTTGAGGAACAGAACAGCTCAGCGACTTAACACACTTTACAAATCTTCTCCACTTATGAAGTGGTCTCGCTAAAACAAAATGGGAATTAAGGGTTAATCGCCATCGCTATTTAGGAAATCTCAAGTCTCTTCCCTTTTTTCGACCAGACGCGGACAAAACTTGTTCACAAGGATCAATTGGAGAGAGAAAGAAAGGAAACTGACGTCACGAGACTGACTTGTTTTGATTGGAGGTTCAAATCTTAAACTTTCACCTCTTACAGAGAAAAAAAATTTTGTGACAAGGTGTCTCAGCACAAATAGCCCAAGCTTGCACAATGCACCTTTGCAAAGATGGATATATGTTTATAATGCGCAATGGGCGAAGTATAAGGATTTTTATGAGAATAGACGGTCTCACTCTCAACCTGAAAATCTGAATTAGGTTTAAATTTAAGCAACCTTACCTCGCTTAAGTGGTTGTTCCTTTGGATCGCGTGATTTTCTGGACTGATTTACGGCCGTTTAGCTCGGTTTAAGTTCATCTACTTTGCCCTCTACGCATAATCCTTTCCTAAAGTAGGTCACTGGCTGACGCATACCAAACGAATCCATTAGAAAAAAGGCGCCGTAAATTCGCTCCGAACGCCCCGATCACTATAAAATTCCAAATATATCACGGGCGACGATGGTACTTCACGGTGGTGTTGCCCATGTGAGGCTCATGTACCATGAATTCCAAGTAAAGGCCGCCAATTTTTGTGAAAGGGTTCTCTGAGAGAGTCTTTCGGTTGAGGCGTTACTAAGTGATTGCGGTACCCAAACTGTTGGAGCTCTTAACTTATGGCTACCTGAACGGCATCAGATGAGGGTCACAGGCCGCTTCCTATTTATCGGGCCGTTCGAGTTGTCACTTCTATTCCTGGAAGGACTTATTCAAAATTTATTATACAGAGAGCCTGAGGCGAGGGAGACTTTAAGAATCTCAAGGAGGTTAGTTACCATGGTTACACCTATCAGTCTGTCAAAATCCCACCCCTTCCCACCATGATGATGTATTTGTCCCGGCTGTAGTTTTCGAGTCTTTCGTTGTAATTTGTACGCGGCCGTGTTGTCGTATATTTTCGTTGTTTGTTTGTTTTTTTTTACTTTGTTGGCCTTCTCACCGCCGCTTCCAGAGAAGAAAACTAGCTTCGAAAAGTAGGAACAATTTTCTACTTTTATAATCTATTCTAAAGTACTACCTTTGTGGATCGAGTATTCTGTTCTCCGCTGTAACGTTGATGCGAATATATTTGTTTAGTTCTATTACAACTTATGATCCTTTCCTGCATTTTTATTACAAGAATTCCTTCCATTAGAGGCGACAACGTATAAGTGTTAATTTGGAAGCGACATAATAGTATTTTTTTGTGGACAATAATCTCAAATAAACCACGAGATATTTGAAAAGTATGGTTTAAATTATTTCCGGTGTTTCTCGCTTGTTTGAAGACAAGCGTCCAACTAAACTTTCATCGTCAGTGTTAAGAACCCGGTCTAAGGTCATCTGATGAAACCAGAAATCTTATTTCAAATATGCTAATCTTGAAGTAGTAAAGATTTGTACAACAATTTAAGCATCTACCCAAAAACGCGAGAACTTCTTGCTAAACCAACCAAATTGAATAGAGAATCATACATGGGCCAGCGTAGATATGGAATTTCCCATCGAATGTTCAACTTGCTTTCAAGTTGAAAAATGTTATTGAACTTTCCGAGTTAGCAATGAAGAGGTTAAAGATTATATATATTACTGCTGACTGGGCGTCCTGGCGACTTCGACAACTTTTCCCGTCAGATAGTATGTCATCGTTTCACCGAGTCCCTATCGCAAAAATAAGACAAAGTTAAGGCGAAAAATGGTCATAATCCTCCATGAAAATCACTAAAATCGAAGAAACAACAGAAACAAACAACACAAGAAATGGTAAACTGGTGCAAAAATGGGGCTTGGTAGGTCAACAGGTTTGCTGCTAATGGTCATTCACTTAGTCGGTTCGTAAGTCAGTTGTCTGTCAACCCGCCAGTCTGTTAGTCAACCAGTACGTCAGTTGGTCTGTCAACCAGTAAGTCAGTCGGTCAGTCAGTCAACTAGTCAGTTAGTCTGTCAGCCAGTCAGTCAGTCAGTCAGTCAGTCAACTAGTAAGTCAGTTAATCTGTCAGCCCACCAGTCATGCAGATCAGTCAGTCAACTAGTAAGTCAGTTGGTCTGTCAACTGGTAAGTCAGTCAAGCAACTAGCAAGTCAGTCAGTCTGTCCGCAAGTCAGTCAGTCAGTCATTCAACTAGTAAGTTAGTTAGTCTGTCAGCCAGCCAGTCGTTCTACTAGTAAGTCAGTTAGTCTGTCAGCCAGTCAGTTAGTCAGTCAGTCAGTCAGCCGACTAGTAAGTCAGTTAGTTTGTCAGCCCGCCATTCGGTCAGTCAAACAGTAAGTCAGTTGGTCTGTTAACCAGTCAGTCAGTCAACTAGTAAGTCAGTAAGTCTGTCAGCCGGTCAGTCGGTCAGTCAGTCTGTCGGTCAGTCATTCAACTAGTAAGTCAGTTAGTCTGTCAGCCAGCAGTCATTCAACTAGTAAGTCAGTTATCCTAACAGCCCGCCAGTCGGTCAGTCAACTGGTAGGTCAGTTGGCCTGTCAGCCAGTCAGTCAGTCAACCAGTAAGCAATCCGTCTGTCAATCCGTCAGTTAGTCAATCAGTAGGCAATCAGTTAGTCAGACAGCCGGCCAGTTAGTTGTTTAGTAAGTAACTCAGAAACATATTTAAATAGTAAGCGAGTCAGTTAGTCCGTCAGCAAGTCAGCTAATCAGTCAGTCAGTCTATAAGTTATTCTATCCGTCACTTGGTCAATCAGTAAGCCATACAGGGGGTTAGTCACTTTCTAAACCAAATAATATCCTCTCCCTACTTCCTAAACAAAAACCACAACGTAAAATCTCAGGCAAAATAAACTAATTGGGTAAGTTACTTTTCAAAAAGGAAGTAGAAAGAGATTGAAAGCCAGATTTAAATTGCATAAAGCACCCAAGGTTAGCCACCTTCGACCAGAAGAAAAATTCAGTGCTCGTTACCAGTTAACAAATACTATTAACCCACCTAACTTACACCTCCTCTCTCGTCTAGAGGCCGTGAAGGGGGAAAAAGTACTGTTTTGGCCTTGAGCAAGTACAGGCCTTTGAGCAGGTTCTTTCTGGGTCCTATTTAACATGGTATAGAACTTTCTTATTTCCTCCCTCGTCTAGAAATCGTGGCGAGAAAATAAGTGCTCTTTTAGGGTTGAGTAGGTAAGAGTCTTTAAGCAGTTCTTTTTCTGGTTCTTGAGTGCTGTTCTTAACATGGTACAGAATTTACCCTAATTCCTGTACCAATATTCCCCCACTTTGTATGGTCTGCTTTTATCCATTCCTTTCTCTCTTTTTTTTTAGTCCAACTTTTTAATATTCTTTCTTAATATACAAGGAATGAGTGGATCTGTAAAATGTTCGATCTCTAATGAAAGCGCTATGTCAGAATAGCGCCCCCCCCCCCCCACCCCGAGTTATTTCTATTGCATAACGACTCAAGAACCATGGAGGCAAAAAGTTTCTTTTAGTGTTTCTAAACTTTCTTTTCTATTACTTCTTCTGTAAGCACCCAAGAAGAATCTACAAAATACATGAACCAGAAATTTATACAGTAGATGACAGTTCAGCCACAGTCAAGAAAAGGTATACATTGATGTACAAAGTTTCTAAAGAAACCCCATAATGATTGAAACTTTATCCGTGCTTTAAATGACAGCTATAATCAAGGTGTTTTACAAAATAGGTTTGAAATGGATATTGTTTACAATTTAGATTTCAGTTTCGCCTTGAACCACTGCTTGGTCAGGTCTTTATTTACAATTATTTGTTGTCACAAACAGCCTGCGAACGATCATTTGAACAAAATTCGTTTTGATGATTCTAAGAAAGGATCTCATTTCAATCTAGCTCTCAGATTCTAAATGAGTTCTAATCTGAAAATCAATTATAAAACAACATAGAACAGGCCGGAGCGCAATTACGATACGTTTTTATTAACCCTGAAGCGGCCGAAGAGATTCTTGAGACCTTGACGATAATTTTGACTGAAAATGAAACAAACACACGGGTTTATACCACAATAAGAGCGAGCTAGAAAAAAAGCTACACTTGCGAAATATCGGAAAGCACAGGTTGACATGATATTGAGACCGTCAGATGAATAAAGAATCAGCAATACATAGATACTGAGTGGCAGCCAGCATACTGCAAACGTTGTCACGATGGCAATGGATAACTTCAGAACACTTCTCTCTCTCCTCAAACGTTTTTCTCTTGCGTTCTCCAATTGCACGCCCGGAATCTTCTGGGACTTGATCTTTATGGCAATTGCAAAGTACAGTATGGCGATGAGGACCAACGGAACGTACCAGAAAACAGCGATCATTGCTGCATCGTGGTTTTGGGAAGACGAAGATTTTCCAAATGTGTCTTTCCACTGCAGTTTACAAGCCAGCCCACTGGGAGACTCTACGAGTTTATAAGCGAATAGGTCTGGGCACCAGGCTGCCACGGCGATGATCCACATACAGAGAATAAGGAACCGGCATCGCTTTGCCCTGATGGGCGGGGAACGGAGGGGAAATAGAACAGCTCCAAATCGATCTACTGCTATCAGAACCAGGCTTTGAATTGAAACGGCAGTCAAAATTTCCAATAAAAAAGGTCGCAGTTTACACAAAGTTTGCCCAAGAGGACCGCTGACCAACCAGGAGCCTGCGTATAGCCGAACTAAATCCCGAGGAAACAGGAAAATAGGAAACAACAGATCGGACAAGGCCATGTTAACAATTAAAAAGTTTATGGGCCTTCTCAGGGTTTTTGTCTTGTAGACAACTATTCCAATCAAGGAATTTCCGACCAAAGAAACTAAAAATATCAGACAGTAGGCAAAGGTTTTACCAATCTTTTCTGCCGTGGGATTGAAACCGCAGCTCAGAGTCGACCATGTCAGTGATGCCTGTGTTCCATTCAAAGTTGAGTTAAGTTTTGTCGACATTATCTTAGTCGGCTAACAGCTCTCATAACTTTATTTAAGGCGAGAACCTCCTTATTTATATACTTTGAGATGCGTGATCTGAATCTACTTCCTTTAGGACACCTGTTATAAGGTAAATAATCTGAGATAATAGGCTGCATTACGCACGCATTTTGACAGTTTCTTACCTGTTTTGATGTAAAATATACAACAAATAGATTCCATGTTGCCGTTTGTCTATATACTCAGCATAAGATCACATGAGACGTCAAAATGTCGTAAAAACAACAGTGACACGCTCGGCTGTCTAGGCCACTTTTTTGTTCTCATCACATTTTGAAATAGCTCAGTTATTGATATAATTATACTCCTCGTGAGAGTAGACTGCTGGTACGAATAATCATGCACACCTTACTGGTGTGTCGTTGCATCAAATTACCTCGTGCGAAAGTGCAGACGAAATTTTTTCAAGAGCATGATCACTTTCACTTCCTTGGTCATTTTTGAGACATGTCACCTGCACGAGAGACTTCGCAAAGACTCTGCTTTAATTGGGTGCAATAACGTATGTCAATATGTCTACGCACGTAATACCACCCGCAGCGCATCCACAGAATAACAATTTTCACACAAACTTTCGCCGTAGTTTGGTAATTTTCTATTTTTGCCAACTTACCATCTCACGTAATGAAAACCGACATGGTTTTAATTATACTCAGACCTAGATAAAGTATTCCTTATTAAGTTTTTAAAGGTGAATATTTAGCCGGCATATAACCACTTTTTTCGATGCCTTCTTGACGCAAATGTTTCGGGTTTCGAATCTGTATGAAGAAATTTAACGGAGAGCCGCTCAATTGAGACCGTAAAGATCTGACAGATCTCTACGATCTCTAATAATATTTGCTCGAAATGTACCCTCTCCCACCTTCCTTTGTAAAGATATCGAAACTACGAAAACAAACGTGAATTTTATTTCATGATGGTGTCGGGAACAGATGCTTCCAAAGGTAGTAGTTTCAAGTTGCTAAATCTCATTATGTATTCAATGAAACTTTAACACAATTTGCCATTTCAGTAAGTGAGCATATTGCTTTTGAAGCGCAAGAGCTTTTTCATAGTAACCTGCTTTAATTGGCTGAAAGTGCTCTGTTAATTTTTATAAATTCTAGCCAGAATTTCTGATAGGGCAAGGAAAAAAGCGAAATTATCAGTGCGGTATTTTCCCGGCATATTATGCGGCAAGAGATGTCCTTCATTGCAGAAAACTACTTAGACGTTATTTTTCTCTCGTCGATGATCATTGTCTATTGGATTCCCAGAGAAGGAAACAATTTTTTGTTGTACAAGGCGTTAATCAAAGTGATCTAAAAATATGATTTATTTCCTCAAAAAATATGTTTTTTAATTATTTTATTATGCTTATCCAGCACAAAATTTCGGAGATGATCGACCAGCATTTTACGTTAAGACAAAACAACATACCACCGTCCATATGAAAGCTAACTTAATTCGGGACAATTTCTTGCCTTATCTTCGCAGTTACATTTAAAGGAGGGTGCGAACTCTCTTCAGTCTGCTGCGATGAAACAGTCGGAGTCATGATAACGAACCTACCTATGTTTGTCCCGCGTCCAGCACAAAATTATCTTGAAAGCGACTATCGAGCGATTTTTGAGCTGATACTTATATCGCAAATGTCAACGATAGCAGCTTCAGAGCTCATAATAGTGATTGTGATTGGCCCATTTACAGGAGAGGATTGTTCATTCTTTGTCAATGAGCAGTGGTGTTTTATTGAAAACTAGCATCAGGCTCCAAACGTGTTGAACTAAATTCTGTAGACGTTGTAGCAGCCAGGGAATGGTACATTAACAAAGCTTTTGTTGTTCAAGACTCTCATTGCCTTCCAAATTGTGGGGGTTTCCAACCACTTGGCCATGGAAAGTCTGGTTACGAGGCTAGGTTACTCCAGCTAATTCCCCCCTTCCCATTCCTCTAACGTTCCAACAAATTTACCGTCGCTTTAACTTGACATTTTAGCCAGTGAGAAGCACGGGAAAAGCCGCTACATGTGATCTTTTTTCATTTACATATCGATTAATTTAAGACCAGAAAATTACTCATTCATTGTGGCACTGTATACTTTTCGTGCCCATCGAATGCCCACGTCTGTCAGTCCATTAGCCAGCCAGGCTGTAAGTTAGTCAGTCAACAGTCAACCAGTTAGTCATTTCAGTCAGTCAGTCAGTCACGTTCAGAACCAGCCAGCCAGCCAGTCTGCTAGTCAATTAGTAAATAAACGGTCATTAAAACAACCAATCAAGTGAATAACTTATTGATAAAGCATGAGGCACCTACCGTTGTCTTGAGAGCGTCTTAAAAAAGTATTCTGACACTAACCTTGATGTTAATAAGGCCCCTCTCTTCCACGCTAAAACCACCCAACTCATCCAGGACATACTTGCACATGGAACTAACGTGAATTCTTTGAGCTGCAGAGATAGGGACATTCTTGCTCAAAATTTGTACCTTACAACGTTAAATCGAGCACCCTTACGAAAGCTTCAAAGGTTTCTTTCAACGTTTTAACGGTAAATCACACGTATTATTATGAAGGACAGAAATAATTGACATTACGATACCAGTTCCAGTTTCCTCCATCTGTCTTGTGATGTCAACTGATTCGCCAAATATGTCGAAACGAGGCTTCTTAAGACCCACCACTCCTGCAACACAAGGGCCTGGAAAGGAACACAGATAGAGAGCTGGTAAGGAATGATGAAGAACTTTTCCTAAGAAGGCATTCACTGCAATAATGATTATAATAATATAAATAATAATGATTACAGTAATATAAAAGATGACCATGAAAATGATGATAATGATGATTTCTCGTTAGGGGCTAAGAATTTTACTTATTCAACCTACCGCCAGTTTCTTTCATAAATAGATTGGAAAACATTATTTATTCTTGTTTCATTATATACCTACCAGTATGAATTCCAATTCTAAATTGTAGCGTTGTGCCTTGCATATGACTGATCTTGAAGGTCTTAAGGTATGCAACAAGGCGTAATGCCATACTAGCTATTTCACCAGCATGTTTATTTCCATTCCTCTCTGGAAGCCCAGACACAACCATACACGAGTCGCTGCTTGTCTCTACCTGTGTAAATAAGCATAACTGCAAATGAGAGAGGAGACCATGCACGTAATCAGCTGGAGAGCGGGAGGTTATATACACTAACAGACAGACAGACAGACGGTCAGTCAGACAGTCGATAGACACACAGACAGACAAACAGACAGACAACAGGAGCGACCGAGACGTCTAGACAGAAACGGCTTTGAGCAATTTTATCCGATCCTTAATTCTTTAGAGCTGTACTAATCGAATTTGACGTTACCTTGTAAACATCGTATCGTGTCATCACTGTGTCATAAAGAGAGTGCAGGTCGTTAAGAAGAGTTATTACCTGCAAGAAAAAGTCAATCAAATCACCGATCTCATTTGGGCAACAGGGACATGCTGTTGGCGTTCCTCCCGTCACCACTAACCAAGTATCTTATGACGATTTCTTAATATGAAAGCCCTAAGCGACGATCCTCCTTCGGCCCGTATCTCGGCCGTCAGAAAATTGGTGTCGTTTGGAGAAAATTTGAATTGAGGGTCTTGAGCAATCCAGCATTGCATTTATTTTATTTCGCTCTGCAAAGGCCATGCTGGAAAACTCGCAGAACCCTCTCACCTAGCAGGTGCATAACTTGGCCGCGTGTGTTCTCTCTTTTTCTGAGAAGTTTTTTAGATTTTGCTATGAGTTCTTAACGGCTTCCTCTTGAAATTTCTTCTGTTCTAGTTGATGCTTGTAGTTGTTTTGGACTGCTTTCGCGAAATTCAATCGTAACGCATCGATGGTATCCATAAATCTTACATCAGTTTCTTTATTTCGGAAAGTTTTTCATTTAGGTAGCTGGAAAACCAAGCGAATGGGCTGTGTTGAAGGAAAGTACTCCGTCCATTTTATGTTTTTATTTCAGGTTCTTTAAGCCAGTTCTCGATGGTCAGGTTTCTATCATTATCGTCAGCTTTTCAAATGTTTTATTTGCTCAAAACTTTTGGACCTCTTATCAGCTTAAGGTTTTTTTTTTTTTTGCGTTTTCTAATATCGGAGATTCTCTCTACTTTTAAGCATTTTCTACTTCAGTTTGTTTATTCTAAGGTCTTTTGTGTCACTATCTCGGATAGGGCACAGGTGGGGTCTCAACTTCCGAGGTTCGAAACACAAACAAGTGAGAAAGTTATGTGAAAACTACGCATACCCTTGATTGCGCCTCTGGTATGCATAGCTTTCTCGAATTCTCGCATCTCCCTCGTGTTAAGATGGGGTTATGTAAACAAGGAAAAATTCATCTAAAGCTTAAATAAAAAGCTACACACTACAGTTTACAACTGACTACAAAATTGAAGTTTCTTCGGTCTCAAAAGTACGTCAAATTACTGAAGAAAATATCCCATGCACGGATTTGCAGAGAAAAGTTGCAAACTTGCTAAGTTACTCTAGAAAACAGACAGCTTGCAAAAGTTAGCTAATAGATTCTGAGCCGATATATAAGATTTGATTAAAGAAAAAAGAAGATACAAAAGTAACTGATTGAATACAAACCTGTATTGGGGAGCTGTGCGACGTTATGTTCGAGAACTCGACAATATCACTGTAAAATACGGTGACGCTATCGTAATGTTCAGCTTTCACTTCAATTCCTGCTTTGAGATGATCTGCAATGCTCCTGAGTTAGACGAAAGAGGACAGGGAATTGTACTTTGTTCAGTAAGTGAGGGTACTTTAAACTGCGTTTCACACAACAAAGTACTACCCCTTCAAAGGGTGCTTGTGGTCGGACTTGCACCACTTGAGGGTAGTTGAGGACACAAATTGTTATCTTTGAAAGTAGTATTTCGTGGATTCTTCAGTTAAAAAATGGCGGTTTCGACTGAAAGAAAAGAGTTTACTTGACGGGTGATGGAGCTTTCTCGCCTTCCAAGAAGAGTATCTTGTTAAGGTAAGATCGCCATTTTGTCTTTCTCTCATTCAATTATACGTATAAACCTATTTATCAATATACCTCGGAAGCATCTTGTGAAGAAGCTCGTCTGTTTTGGTTTTCTCACTCTGTAGTTGTTTCGTCCGTTCATTTACAATGGCCTCCAAGTTGTTTGTGTACTTTTCCATCATGGACAACATATTGTCAACGACGCTGGTTGTCCTTGCAATTATGGAGAGCAACGGAAAAA